ATCCATGGCAGGGAGTACAATGTCTGTACATCTAGGTGTTGACTACATTCATGGCAGGGAGTACAATGTCTGTACATCTAGGTGTTGACTACATTCATGGCAGGGAGTACAATGTCTGTACATCTAGGTGTTGATCACATCCATGGCAGGGAGTACAATGTCTGTACATCTAGGTGTTGACTACATTCATGGCAGGGAGTACAATGTCTGTACATCTAGGTGTTGGTCACATCCATGGCAGGGAGTACAATGTCTGTACATCTAGGTGTTGATCACATGCATGGCAGGGAGTACAATGTCTGTACATCTAGGTGTTGGTCACATCCATGGCAGGGAGTACAATGTCTGTACATCTAGGTGTTGACCACATCCATGGCAGGGAGTACAATGTCTGTACATCTAGGTGTTGACCACATTCATGGCAGGGAGTACAATGTCTGTACATCTAGGTGTTGGTCACATCCATGGCAGGGAGTACAATGTCTGTACATCTAGGTGTTGACCACATCCATGGCAGGGAGTACAATGTCTGTACATCTAGGTGTTAACTACATCCATGACAGGGAGTACAATGTCTGTACATCTAGGTGTTCACCACATCCATGGCAGGGAGTACAATGTCTGTACATCTAGGTGTGGACTACATGACAGGGAGTACAATGTCTGTACATCTAGGTGTGGACTACATCGCAGGGAGTACAATATCTGTACATCTAGGTGTTGGTCACATCCATGGCAGGGAGTACAATGTCTGTACATCTAGGTGTTGGTCACATCCATGGCAGGGAGTACAATGTCTGTACATCTAGGTGTTGACCACATCCATGGCAGGGAGTACAATGTCTGTACATCTAGGTGTTGACTACATTCATGGCAGGGAGTACAATGTCTGTACATCTAGGTGTTGACCACATCCATGGCAGGGAGTACAATGTCTGTACATCTAGGTGTTGACTACATTCATGGCAGGGAGTACAATGTCTGTACATCTAGGTGTTGACCACATCCATGACAGGGAGTACAATGTCTGTACATCTAGGTGTGGACTACATGACTGGGAGTACAATGTCTGTACATCTAGGTGTTGATCACATCCATGGCAGGGAGTACAATGTCTGTACATCTAGGTGTTGGACGACATCCATGGCAGGGGAGTACAATGTCTGTACATCTAGGTGTTGACTACATTCATGGCAGGGAGTACAATGTCTGTACATCTAGGTGTTGACTACATGGCATGGCAGGGAGTACAATGTCTGTACATCTAGGTGTTGACCACATCCATGGCAGGGAAGTACAATGTCTGTACATCTAGGTGTTGACTACATTCATGGCAGGGAGTACAATGTCTGTACATCTAGGTGTTGGTCACATCCATGGCAGGGAGTACAATGTCTGTACATCTAGGTGTTGATCACATGCATGGCAGGAGTACAATGTCTGTACATCTAGGTGTTGGTCACATCCATGGCAGGGAGTACAATGTCTGTACATCTAGGTGTTGATCACATGCATGGCAGGGAGTATAATGTCTGTACATCTAGGTGTTGGTCACATCCATGGCAGGGAGTACAATGTCTGTACATCTAGGTGTTGACCACATCCATGGCAGGGAGTACAATGTCTGTACATCTAGGTGTTGACTACATTCATGGCAGGGAGTACAATGTCTGTACATCTAGGTGTTGACGACATCCATGGCAGGGAGTACAATGTCTGTACATCTAGGTGTTGACTACATTCATGGCAGGGAGTACAATGTCTGTACATCTAGGTGTTGACCACATCCATGACAGGGAGTACAATGTCTGTACATCTAGGTGTGGAGTACAATGTACAATGTCTGTACATCTAGGTGTTGATCACATCCATGGCAGGGAGTACAATGTCTGTACATCTAGGTGTTGACGACATCCATGGCAGGGAGTACAATGTCTGTACATCTAGGTGTTGACTACATTCATGGCAGGGGAGTACAATGTCTGTACATCTAGGTGTTGACCACATCCATGGCAGGGAGTACAATGTCTGTACATCTAGGTGTTGATCACATCCATGGCAGGGAGTACAATGTCTGTACATCTAGGTGTTGACTACATTCATGGCAGGGGAGTACAATGTCTGTACATCTAGGTGTTGGTCACATCCATGGCAGGGAGTACAATGTCTGTACATCTAGGTGTTGATCACATCCATGGCAGGGAGTACAATGTCTGTACATCTAGGTGTTGACCACATCCATGGCAGGGAGTACAATGTCTGTACATCTAGGTGTTGACCACATCCATGGCAGGGAGTACAATGTCTGTACATCTAGGTGTTGACTACATTCATGGCAGGGAGTACAATGTCTGTACATCTAGGTGTTGGTCACATCCATGGCAGGGAGTACAATGTCTGTACATCTAGGTGTTGACCACATGGCAGGGAGTACAATGTCTGTACATCTAGGTGTTGACTACATCCATGACAGGGAGTACAATGTCTGTACATCTAGGTGTTGACCACATCCATGGCAGGGAGTACAATGTCTGTACATCTAGGTGTGGACTACATGACAGGGAGTACAATGTCTGTACATCTAGGTGTGGACTACATGGCAGGGGAGTACAACAATGTCTGTACATCTAGGTGTTGGACATCCATGGCAGGGGAGTACAATGTCTGTACATCTAGGTGTTGGTCACATCCATGGCAGGGAGTACAATGTCTGTACATCTAGGTGTTGACCACATCCATGGCAGGGGAGTACAATGTCTGTACATCTAGGTGTTGACTACATTCATGGCAGGGGAGTACAATGTCTGTACATCTAGGTGTTGACCACATCCATGGCAGGGGAGTACAATGTCTGTACATCTAGGTGTTGACTACATTCATGGCAGGGAGTACAATGTCTGTACATCTAGGTGTTGACCACATCCATGGCAGGGAGTACAATGTCTGTACATCTAGGTGTGGACTACATGACTGGGAGTACAATGTCTGTACATCTAGGTGTTGATCACATCCATGGCAGGGAGTACAATGTCTGTACATCTAGGTGTTGACGACATCCATGGCAGGGAGTACAATGTCTGTACATCTAGGTGTTGACTACATTCATGGCAGGGAGTACAATGTCTGTACATCTAGGTGTTGACTACATTCATGGCAGGGAGTACAATGTCTGTACATCTAGGTGTTGACCACATCCATGGCAGGGAGTACAATGTCTGTACATCTAGGTGTTGACTACATTCATGGCAGGGAGTACAATGTCTGTACATCTAGGTGTTGGTCACATCCATGGCAGGGAGTACAATGTCTGTACATTTAGGTGTTGATCACATGCATGGCAGGGAGTACAATGTCTGTACATCTAGGTGTTGGTCACATCCATGGCAGGGAGTACAATGTCTGTACATCTAGGTGTTGACCACATCCATGGCAGGGAGTACAATGTCTGTACATCTAGGTGTTGACTACATTCATGGCAGGGAGTACAATGTCTGTACATCTAGGTGTTGACTTCATGGCATGGAGTACAATGTCTGTACATTTAGATGTGGACTACATGACAGGGAGTACAATGTCTGTACATCTAGGTGTGGACTACATGGCAGGGAGTACAAAGTCTGTACATCTAGGTGTTGGTCACATCCATGGCAGGGAGTACAATGTCTGTACATCTAGGTGTGGACTACATGACAGGGAGTACAATGTCTGTACATCTAGGTGTGGACTACATCGCAGGGAGTACAATTTCTGTACATCTAGGTGTTGACTACATTCATGGCAGGGAGTACAATGTCTGTACATCTAGGTGTTGGTCACATCCATGGCAGGGAGTACAATGTCTGTACATCTAGGTGTTGATCACATGCATGGCAGGGAGTACAATGTCTGTACATCTAGGTGTTGACCACATCCATGGCAGGGAGTACAATGTCTGTACATCTAGGTGTTGACCACATCCATGGCAGGGAGTACAATGTCTGTACATCTAGGTGTTGACTACATTCATGGCAGGGAGTACAATGTCTGTACATCTAGGTGTTGGTCACATCCATGGCAGGGAGTACAATGTCTGTACATCTAGGTGTTGACCACATCCATGGCAGGGAGTACAATGTCTGTACATCTAGGTGTTAACTACATCCATGACAGGGAGTACAATGTCTGTACATCTAGGTGTTGACCACATCCATGGCAGGGAGTACAATGTCTGTACATCTAGGTGTGGACTACATGACAGGGAGTACAATGTCTGTACATCTAGGTGTGGACTACATCGCAGGGAGTACAATTTCTGTACATCTAGGTGTGGACTACATGACAGGGAGTATAATGTCTGTACATCTAGGTGTGGACTACATGGCAGGGAGTACAATATCTGTACACCTAGGTGTTGACCACATCCATCCATGGCAGGGAGTACAATGTCTGTACATCTAGGTGTGGACTACATGACAGGGAGTACAATGTCTGTACATCTAGGTGTTGACTTCATGGCATGGAGTACAATGTCTGTACATTTAGATGTGGACTACATGACAGGGAGTACAATGTCTGTACATCTAGGTGTGGACTACATGGCAGGGAGTACAAAGTCTGTACATCTAGGTGTTGGTCACATCCATGGCAGGGAGTACAATGTCTGTACATCTAGATGTTGGTCACATCCATAGCAGGGAGTACAATGTCTGTACATCTAGGTGTTGACCACATCCATGGCAGGGAGTACAATGTCTGTACATCTAGGTGTGGACTACATGGCAGGGAGTACAATGTCTGTACATCTGGTGTGGACTACATGACAGGGAGTACAATGTCTGTACATCTAGGTGTGGACTACATGGCAGGGAGTACAATGTCTGTACATCTAGGTGTGGACTACATGGCAGGGAGTACAATGTCTGTACATCTGGTGTGGACTACATGACAGGGAGTACAATGTCTGTACATCTAGGTGTGGACTACATGGCAGGCTGCAGAGTGTATGTGTCTAAGGGACTAACCTGTTGCCTGCTGCCAGCTTGTCCTGTTGGCACTGCTATCACAGTACTGCCGTGGGTTGATGGGGTTGTACTCTCCATCTTCGTAGCACTGATCATTAATGATGCATCCACTTGTCTGGAGCAGACACAAAACAATGGAATAGGCAAGGAAAGAGCAATTGAAAGCGAATCATACCATCTGGAGATCAGATGTAAACTAGCTGATGACTACAACATATAATGAAGACCAGAAATCTATTTGCATTTATGTTTATTTGCTTTAGTCCTTATTGTTGAAAGCAAATTATCTGGCATCAGAGATAAGCTTCGATAAAGACCTACACTAGATACCTTTGTTCCACAGGATCTTGGATTGAGTTTTGGCATCAAAATACAGTATCAAATATACATTACAATCAAACTGACAAATTAGTTTATGTGGATCATAACATGTTTGAAAGTAAATAACAGTGTCCTACCTTGTCCACACAGGTTCCGTTGCTGGGAAAGCAAGTCTGGCAGAGGGAATCATAGACCAAATAAAGGAGGGAAGTACTCCGAAGTTCATTGAAGCTGATAGAGACCTCATAACTGTAGCCAGCTTCTGGCAGTGGACATGCCAACTCCATCAGGTGGATGAATGTTGCTGTTGTATTGACCACTTCATCACCAACCTCATACCCAGTTTCATTCAGCTATACATGAAACAGGACAGTTCTGACATTTCCATAATCCAAACACAACAATATGACACACACATTAAAAGGACTGATCTAAAGCACTGTTTCTAAACAATGACCAATAAACCCTGATCTCACTTGTCTCTGGGGCGGTGGGGTAGCCTAGTGGTTAAAGCGTTGGCTCGTCACGCCCAAGACCCAGGTTCGAATCCCCACATGGGTACAATGTGTGAAGCCCATTTCTGGTGTCCCCCACTGTGATATTGCTGGAATATTGCTAAAAGTGGCGTAAAACCAAAACTCAGTCACTTGCCTCTGATCCTCTAATACCAGAAGAGAAGTTTCTGTTTTAGTGACCATACCCAGTGTATGAAATAAGGCCTGTCCGACCACCCGAGATGGGCTAGATTTCTGATGGATGGTCTAGATTTACAGCTAGCCAGCTCGATGATCTGGTAAAAATTTTAGATGTTCCATACATCTGAGTAAATTCACCATATCTTGCTTGGTGACTGGTCTGATTAAATCCATTTGGATGATGTCTGGCTGGGTTTTTGGCTTATTTCATTTTTTTCCAGTCCTAATATTTTTTATCACTGGCAGATGAAGCTAAACTTCAAAATGTTTTCATTTGTTATCATAATAATTTCATCGTTGTTTATCAATGTAAGGATATACATATCATACTTATGCTACTAAATGTGCTTGCAGGTGGCTCAGCAGAGATCACAACCCACTCAAGAATTCTGGGATATCATCTGGGTAGTCCCAGGGGAAAAACAATAACAAAAGCAACAGCCAGTCCACAGAAATTGCTCTGGCATCTGAGTGTCCATTTGAGCATGCTTTCTCCCAAAGGAGAAAAACAGCAGAATGATGTCTTTACATGATTCATGATATTACTCAGTAATTTTCAGTGGAAAATACATACCAAGCATATTCTGTGTGACATCTGTATGATGATATCACAAAATTAACATCAACACCATTTTCCTATGAAACGATGAGGCATTCGTTCATGTCATATCACAATGTAATTGAACCATGTAATGTGTAATGAAAGTTACTTAAACTACAGAAAGCAAACATTGACCACTGACCGTGACCCTAGCCCAGTGGCAGACAAGGCTGCTGACATTGAGAGTGTTGTTGTTGTAGACATGCACAGCGTCACAGTTATCAATACGCATGTCACACAATCCATTGTTGCTGAGGAAGAATATGTTGGGCGGTTTATCTGTTTCCACCACACAGTCCAGGCTGTCTCTGTGTTTCTGGCACCTGCATCGTCCTGGAGAACAATAGATATTTTCAAGAAGTAAACAGTTTATAGGAAAAAAGTCCTTGGTACAAAAGTACTGGTAAAATGTCTTTGGTAACGAAATCCTTTTGAAGTAAAAACCAAAGATTTACAGTGTGCATGAGGCTCCACTGTCAGGCGATCCAAGAACCAACAACGTGTGCGAAGGCTGGAATATGAAATTTTTAACTTAGTCGGTCACCACCATCCATCTGTTTGGAAGACCATCGAATGTTTCCAGAGGAAACAGATGACAGTAAGAACTGTGATTGCCCAGGATGCCATTGGAAATGTCCATGTGAAGAAAACCCAAACTGTCTTTCTCAAGATGCAGAAACATCTGCACAAACTGTGTAGTGACATTGCCGTTGGAAGGAAGTCCATCCCCGAGTTTTTACACAGTGTGTCAGTGAACATCCAACATCAGTAGGCCTAGACTATTTCATGTCATCATGTGATACATTATGTAAATTAAACCTTATAATGTTAACTGTAGTCATTTCGTATGATCTGTATATCAACATTTCAATACATCATCACGTCATAAGACCATTACATTTGTTGTATGTGTGACAATGAAAAACTAAAAGCTAAAAAAGCATTGTTTTTCTAAACACTTCTTGTTAGAAACTGGAAAGAGGACTTCTTTACCAAGGCAAATTTCGGTCTTTTTTATCGGTACTTTTGAACCGAGGACTTTTTAAGCAAACACCAGTAAATACAGGTCATCCTCTCCATATAATCTCCAGGGGACATACCAGATATTTTGGTTAATCTACACTAGGTATTAGAGATCTGGGGTTCTCTTGATTTTCAGTTACTAATTTGATCTGCAATGATAGTCAGTCAGACAGACAAATCAGAATGCAAGTTACAAGTCAGTGTCAGTGTCAGAGGTCTCCTATGGCTCTGAGCATGATGTTGACAATAGCTATTTTGTCCTTGTGCATGTCCTCTGTGCCTTGGTCACTGAGCTGAGTGGAAAACCCAGTGTTGTCAGTCAATGCCATTTGATTCAAGCTGCTGAAACGTCTTGTGTTAATCAGTTGAAGACCTGCAATGGATCTGGGTTCCAGACGGTGGAACATGGTTGTTCCTGAAAGGTTTCATGATGACATAAACATACGATCTTCACACCTACCATTGTCACATGTAGACCCCCTACACTCAGAAGGACATTGTAAACTGAGTTTATCATCTACAGGCCAAAGTGTTGTGTTCGTAAGGAGAGCTATTTCACACTGCTTCTTGATGTCTTCTTGGGCGGCCATGAACCACTGACTGTTTAGTGTATTCTGTGAAATGTAAAATGAAGGTTATATTCTTCAATCCATCCATCCACCATGTTCTTTACAAACAACTCATAGTTCATGTCAATTCCTGTTTGGGAAGTAAATCTACACAAGTAACACACTACACATGATGTAATTCCTTCTAATACTCTACCTCTATTACAACAAGGGAGCTATACATGTCTTGGAATGTGCAGACACCAGCACAGGTTTCTTCTACACAGTATTCTTTGTACCCAAGAAATACACATCAATATGTGCATGATCAATGCCCTCAAAGTTCTCAAAAGGCATTACCTAAGTAACCCCCCAGATACCACATGAAATCAGTAAAAAGCTCACTAACTTAGGAGACTGTGCTATCAGTCGGGATTTGTATCACCGGATGTGTATTCCCATTGATCCTGATCCCATATCCTGTCATTCAGAGTCTCCATAGCTCATTGGCTTTTTCATCAACCCTATCATCAGACTTCACAGATAAATACACAACCTCCACTCAGCAGACTCAGTGTCTAACGAGAAACAACCTCAATGGAACTTAATACTCCTGTATCAGTTATTATACATATGGAGTCATGAGGACATTATACATATGGAGTTAGCAGGAGATTATACATATGGAGTTAGCAGGAGATTATACATATGGAGTTAGCAGGACATTATACATATGGAGTCAGCAGGACATTATACATATGGAGTTAGCAGGAGATTATACATATGGAGTTAGCAGTAGATTATACATATGGAGTTAGCAGGACATTATACATATGGAGTCAGCAGGACATTATACATATGGAGTCAGATTTCAACTGTTCACAGAGGCATTCTGTGCCTGCTAGATGATATTTCAAGGCTATCTGCTTCAATACCTGAATTCATGTTACAGTACAATTCAACCTTTTATCAGACTATACCAGAGATATGAAATAATGCCTACAGAGTGACCCCTTCATGCCTTTGGGTGCCAGTGTTTGATGCATCTTCTGTTGGAGCCATGAGAATATTGATGCAATCATTCTCCTCCAGTTTCTCTGACACTCTGTTTAGGAGTGACCAAGGTGGAAATATGTCAGCAAACACACCTTTAACTGGTTAGGACATCCATATGGAAGACTTGTGGATGTTGAACAAACTTGTGTTTTAGGCAGGTTACAAAATGGTTGAGCTGAGCAGAGTGCAATTGTGTTTTCAAATACTGGCACCCAAAGGCATGAAGGGGGCACTCTGTAGGCATTATTTCATATCTCTGGTATAGTCTGATAAAAGGTTGAATTGTACTGGAACATGAATTCAGGTATTGAAGCAGATAGCCTTGAAATATCATCTAGCAGGCACAGATTGCCTCTGTGAACAGTTGAAATCTGACTCAATACGTATAATGTCCTGCTGACTCCATATGTATAATGTCCTGCTAACTCCATATGTATAATCTCCTGCTGACTCCATATGTATAATCTCCTGCTGACTCCATATGTATAATCTCCTGCTGACTCCATATGTATAATGTCCTGCTGACTCCATATGTATAATCTCCTGCTGACTCCATATGTATAATCTCCTGCTAACTCCATATGTATAATGTCCTGCTGACTCCATATGTATAATGTCCTGCTGACTCCATATGTATAATCTCCGGCTGACTCCATATGTATAATGTCCTTGGTCACTCCTAGACAGTGTGTCAGAGAAACTGGAGGAGAATGATTGCATCAATATTCTCATGGCTCCAACAGAAGATGCATCAGAGTATTTCCCCTTCTTACAGGCCTGGAAATTACCTTTGGCAAATGCAGGAATCTGGGTTATCCAGCACTGCCATTGAAGCAGATGTTTTTGGACACCTTCATCATGTACCTTACACAATACTGGAAGGCACAAGTTCAGTCAAAAGGGAAGAGAAGGATGGTAGGGAGATATAGATATCAGCATATTTATTATCGTAACAGAATTATTGCTTCATTTAAGTCATGACAAGAATTACCATCATAGCACTATTAAAGCATACCAATTTGCATTCGCTTCTCTTCTTTATCATTATGGGCCTTTCTACAGGTATAATCCAGATGTTACATAGTATACGTACTTTCAGATTTACTTTTCCCAAATGGAACCTCAATAGAACTTAAACAGCCATGCATCTCACTGGTCGCTCCTCAGTGGTGTCTCATTATGTTTGTGGGAAAGGATTCCAGCAACTACAACCTTGTATGGTATGACAGCTTTGTTATCATATTGTTCACGGCCCCTCACAGGTTAATGGATGGACTCACATCATAACATCTGGGTGTGGGCTGATGTTCTATGGAAATGATGGCTTGACATATCTGATGATTTTGTTAGATAACTCAATTATCAAACAAACAGGGACTGAGGGAGTGATTTCAACAACCATTTATAATAAATGGAAGTGGTGGCATTACCAATATATTGGGTGAGCAGTATTTCCCTGCTGTCAGCTATCTGGGATAACATGTCCCAACTTATGGTATATTCTGACAACAATATAATACAGATAGAGTAATCAAAGCATATTATTGTGTACATTTCTAAGAAAACCACCTCTATTACATCAGGAATAGTCCCTTCCTGCCCAGTACATCTATATATATATAGAATGTGGGTTTTGGAAAGAAGTTTTCCCACTCAGTGCTTGTACAGTTTAACTTTAGATAGTTGTCAGTGATCCGTTACAACAACCTGAAGATCATATTTGTGATTCAGTCTAAAAGCAGGCAGGATTTATGACCGTGATGTTACAGAAGCAGTATTCCAAGAAGTATACACAATGATACTATTGGTTGATTTTCATACCTTGATATCTTCTGCACAAGATGTTAGAGAGTTTTGATATTGGACTCCAGGAACACTTTGGCAGGCCTTCACAAATGCTGACAAGCCTATTGATGCTTCACACAGGATACCCTCCACATATCCCTGTGTCCAGCCACTATCTCCAGGGATATCCCACCCATATTCCTGCAACAATGTACATACTCACTTCACACAACAGACTAAAGAAAATGAAGATTTACCAAATTTAAAATGTTCAGTTTACACAGATTTTCAATTATGTAACGTTCATATTTACGGTGTGTGTGTGTGTGTGTGTGTGTGTGTGTGTGTGTGTGTGTGTGTGTGTGTGTGTGTGTGTGTGTGTGTGTGTGTGTGTGTGTGTGTGTGTGTGTGTGTGTGTGTGTGTGTGTGTGTGTGTGTGTGTGTCTGTGTGTGTGTGTGGTTCATTAGCATTAGCTCCTCATGACGAAGACCTGGGTTTTATTCCTCACATGTGCCCAATGTCTGAAGCCCATTTCTGGTGTCCCCCACTGTGATATTGCGGGGATATTGCTAAAAACATACTTACTTACTCATTCATATTTACAAAACTTGTAAAGTCTACAATTAATATCATATTAAGTATCAGAAATACATATTGCTTCCTGCATGTCAGAATGTTATGCATGAGAAGAAAGGAACTGCAGGAACAAGCCGTATTCTGATATCAGGTTATGAAACTCCAAAACATGCCAGCCCAACCACAGGGCTGGTTAGATGTAAAACATGCCAGCCCTGACCAAAACTTACCTGCCCACAAAAAATACTACTTTACTTATTTACTTTATTTTCACGAGTGAATTAATAATTAGTTATTATCCTGAAATATGATGAATATCTTCATATACATGTCTAAATTTTAACCCGACTGTTGGGCAGGTGGATTTGAGCAGCCCGTGTTGAAAATAACCCATCCAGGGCGGTCAGGCAGGCAGGTATTTTGAACGCTGCTGATATAATCCATTTATCTGGGGTTTTTTAATGCATCTGCACCTGTTGCATTCAGAAAAAACATAAATTTTGTCATCCAATAAATTTTTAACAGTTAAAAGATATTTTTTTATGCAAGTGGTTTTCTCTTCATGATTCATCTGTGATTACTTAGTATTGTATTTTATTGATTGGTAAAACTTTACTCAATCTGCATCCTTCTTGTTCTATATGGTTCCAAATTGATACTGACTATGATAAGAACCATGTTATATTTGCCATTAGTATGACTAGCATTTTTCCAAAATATCAATTTAAGTGTATATTTTACCTGTTATCACCAGAATTGCAACTATGTTAATTTTTTGCCAGTCACTTTCTGTGCTCAGGGATAGTGTTATGCAATTTGTGTTTTCACAAAACTAACGGTGTATTCCCATACTGCCTACAGGTTAAAACAACATGATAGGGTCCAGTGATCAGGAAGTGAATACACCACTAAGATCTGTTCTACCCCTGCTATAATGAACTTGACCAGTTACTTGGTTAATGAACTGACCTGTTCAATGTAGTCTTCCCACTCTGCTACAGAAGTTTAAAAAATGACAAGTGTTGGTTGGTTTATTCGTTCTGAGAATTCTCTGTCTTTACATGGAGACATGGATTTATCATCCAAAACTGTGTTCCACAGTAGATATCGCTTGTGTGAGATCAGACGATATCTCCTAGGAGATCTTGTTTCGACAGTAGATTTTGTACAATGCCCTGACAATGCTATGACGTCATGAACTTGTTGACATCACAATGTTATGACATCGCTGCAATGCAAATCTGACCGCCTCCGTGGTGTAGTGGTTAGAGCGTCTGCCCGGAGAGCGGAAGGTCGCGGGTTCGATCCCCGGCCACGTCATACCAAAAGACGTTACAATATGGTACTTGTGGGTCCCTGCCTGGCGTTCGGCATTAATGGGTACAACAAGGACTGGTCGGCTCGGAGTCAGTATAATGTGTCTGAGTGGGGTATTCATGCTTCACTGCGGCGTGGTATCTCGGTAGGCTAGCACTATAAAACCAGCTTCAGTCTGGGCTAGTACAAGCAGCAGCACATACACATACACACGCATGCACGTTGTCATATGAGCGAAATATTCTCAAGCACAACGTTAAAACCCAATTTTACCTCACTTCACTGCAAATCTAATGGCTATACATTTTTCATTGAAAACTAATGAAGAGTGATATTTGATGATAAATAGAAACTCACCCTCGTGTCTTCTGATATCATAATATATCAACACTCGTTGACAAAAGTAAAAATATCCTCGGCAAGCCTCCGATATTTGCTACTTTATCAACTTGTGGTGATATATTTGATATCAAAAGACACTCGGGTGAGATTCTATATATATCATGAAAAACTGATAAGTTTTACAGTCTTTTACTGGTTTTACAGTCTTTTACTGGTTTCACAATTACGCACAACTGACAAGGATGTCCATTTTGTTGTCATGGACTCCGATATGTCACGGGACCAAGATAAAATGTGTTTGTGTGGCAGTGTCATATTTTACATTTTATTTATTTATTTGTGTAAATACGGTATCATTTTAAACAGTTTGGTTGTGGTAGTTTTATTGGATTAGGTTTTTATTATAGTATGTTTGGTATTTGTCTCCAGCTTGATTACCCCAAGCTGGGCCTGGGCTCCTATTGTATACTGAACAGCAAAATAAACGCAAGTTTCGAAAAAATGAAATCTGATGAAGGTAAGCGTTCATGTTTATGGAACGTTCATGGTAAAGTGACGTAATGATCCCAGATGAGATGATGTCATGCAATTTGACGTCCATACGAAACATTCGCACAAACACACCAACAGTGCAGCAAAACCATAATTTTAGCACGTGCATCGACGGTTATGGATGAAAAGCATGCATTTCACTCTGAGGTATCCTTTATAACGGTTAGTGTCAAAAAAACAGTTCAGTATAGACGCTAGGAGGTGTACACGCCACACAAACGATGCCTAGACTAACGACTGAGCAGAGGGGAATGGCCATTGGAAAGTTACACGGAGGTAGCACTGCAACCGCTGTAGCTAGACAATTGGGCTGTCATCTTACCACCATTACACGACTTCCTCAACGTCATCAGTAAAACGGGTTGCTGCTGATCGTCGCCGTACCGAACTGCAACGAGTGACAACTCATGCGCAAGATCAGTTCATCCGGGTCACTCATCTAAGGAACGAACTGAAGCAGTAACAGTAACAGCAGCCTTAGTTCTTGGGTCAAGGGGAGCAGTGTCCAGCGAAACGATTAAGCGTCGTCTTCGGGCTGCTGGAATCCACTGCCGAAGGCCATATGTGTGGGGCCAATTTTGGCACGTCAACAATGCCAGCGATGTTGCAGCCCTCACACAGCAAGGGTGTCGATGATTATCTGGCTCAGAACAACATTAACGTCTCTTTCCCCGGATATGGCTCCCATTGAACATTCTGGGACGAAATTGGACAGAGGATTGCTGCAGGTAGACAGCCACTCACACTTGCACAATTGGAATAGAGATTGGTGTTTGAGCGGAACCAGTTGCATCAGACATTCTTTCAGACTCTAGTGAACTCAATGAGGCCACGTTGCATGACCTGTGTGCAAGCTCGAGGTGGCTATACGCGCTACTAAAGAGACTGTCACTTTTCGCGTTCAGGGGTATCTCCATTTGACGGACTGTGATCAATTTGAACTTATTGCAATTCAATGTCAACAGCAACTTTTAGCTGTTACATTGACAGTGTTTTCTAAAGAATAAATGATTAGACATAATTTGGGTTGTCTTCTATTCAAAAACCTGACAAAAAGCCAGACTTGCGTTTCTTTTGCTGTTCAGTATATTATTGTGGGACAGCAGGTTGTTCTTTTGTTCTTAACTCAGAGGGCAAGCTATTCCTTGATCTCTGATTGGTCAGTTTTATGTTGTATGTTTTCTTCTTCACTAACATCAGCACATTTTAGTCAGTCTACCACATACAGCTGCACAAGAAAGGCACCTCAAACATATGACGTGACAATTTGACAGACGTCTGATTTCCGCTCTTTTTTCGTCTAAAACTTCTCTCTGTTCAAGGTTAGTTAACTTAATTATAAACATTATGTAGGATGTAATATCTGTTAACTATAGTTATGTCATAAACATTATTTTTGCTTAGGTTTTAATATTGTGTGATGTGAAGGTATGAATGTGTTTTAAGAATATATTGTAAGTCAAATATTGTGTGTTTATAGGCATGATTTTCATGTTTATTGCATCAGCATTTTCATTATAAGTTTATTTGTAATAATTGTAATCTTTTATGAGGTCAGGTGACACACAAGCATGTCTGCCTGCTTGGCGGCCATCTTTATTGGCCATGTTTTACACTTGTTGGTGGTACATGTAATGTTTGTGCCACTTGAGATATATTATTTTAACAATTGTTCATTGTGTATATTTATAAGAATATCACAGTACACATAATGTTGTGCTGTAAGGTATATGTATATGTTTATTAAGTAGGTTAGTTTTAAAGAGTGATATATGATAATGAAACATATAATAGGCTAGCATAATATACTTAATTGTGTGTTGTATCACTTATAGATGGACATGGTGTTTCACTAAGGTGGACAATGTAATATCACCTGAGTACCATATATTTGGTAGGTATTTTATCCTTCTAATGTGTTTATATTTCATGTATATATCATTGCCACAGATATGTGTTCCCTAGATATTATGATATTTTGCTGCTGCAATTAATCCATATAATATATTTTTGTGAGCTGCATGTGTTTATTACTTATGTTTATTACTTTCTTGGAATGGATGCAGTTCAAGCAATTTGCATTACAATGAATATATTGTGATAGGTATATATGACCATGTGTAATCTACTATACTTATTAGTACAGATGTGATATGACTGTTTTATTGATTATTGTTATTATGTTATAGGGTGAAAACAAAACAAACTATATATTTGAGAAATAAAGTAGTGGCACAAGTCACAACTCACACCCCAGCAGGCGTTGGTCTTTATTGAACAGAACCACCCCTTACCCTGCTACATTTGAATATTTTTTGTTTTGGTGGTATAGTATTCTCCTGTATATGTTATTTATTAGAACTTATGTTCTTTTTGTTGTAGAGTAATTTATGAGAGCTTGTATGGAGCTTAAGGAATCCGTAAAAATGCAGATGGTAGTGTTTGTTTGGTCAGATGTTGTTTGCAAGGCCTGAACTATGGCTGCGACTTCTGCTGTGAAGATACTGGAGTTTGCCGGGAGATTATAGGATTGTTTAACGCTTTCTTGGGGTATGTAGATACCAAAACCAGTAGTGCTCTTCTGATTTCAAGCACATTCAAACAAATTCCAAATAATTAAACCACTCACTAAATATCTCATTCATACAAAATTATACCAAATAATCTAGCAACAAAAAACAATATATACCTTATGTTTTATATATTTATCATTATTCACTTAATAAATATGTTTTTAAACATGGGTTGGTTAAAAAATACAATAACAATAACCATTTACTACACCACATCTATATTAAATTCAAAATCTCTAATACTCCCTACCTATATCATATTTCTTTTTACCTTTTTAATTCGGCATCCGATTCAACTTTCCCTTAATACTCAGTTGTTGAGGGGTTTTTTTTTGGGTAGTAACACCACTCTTTCAAATTTCTATTTTTTGTTCCCCTCATTTCTTGTATAAGTGTACTACCCCGTCGCTGAAATACCTTAGTTGTGTGTGCGACATTAAATAAAGCAAATAGATACTACTACCTTACTCCAAACGACACACCCCTTCTTCATTGATAATTGGGCTGTTCCATTATTCTACAGGGCAAACAATCATTTCCAACGCTGCCTACAATATTGTTTTTGGCAGTTTTGGGATGTAGGCAGTTTGGAACTGTAGGCAGTGTGGGACCTAACCAAACTATCCATTTAGTCCTGTGATGTTTGTGTTCTTTGACATTTGAACTTGTGAATAGATAATTAATTATTCTCTCCAAACACAGGCAGATTGAGACTAATAAATGAATGAATTCCTTCTTAAAGGGGCACTGATCCAAAGTGATGCATATTTCGTGCCAACAATCATATTGTGTTGTTTAGCTGCAAGGTGGGCAGTCCCTGCTCCAACTAAAGTGATGGACATGGGTACTGGGCAACTGTCCACAATCCTGCTAAAACAATGTAGTACTTATTGGGGGAATTTCAGTAATGTTACTCATTGGGTGAATTTCAGTAATGTTTGTCATGGGGGAATTTCAGTAATGTTACTCATTGGGGGAATTTCAGTAATGTCACTCATTGGAATTTCAGTAATGTTACTCATTAGGGGAACTTCAGTAATGTTACTCATTAGGGGAATTTCAGTAATGTTACTCATGTGGAATTTCAGTAATGTTACTCATGGGGATTTTCAGTAATGTTACTCATTAGGGGAATTTCAGTAATGTTACTCATTGTGGGAATTTCAGTAATGTTACTCATTGGGGAATTATAGTAATGTTACTCATGGGGAATTATAGTAATGTTAGTCACTGGGGGAATATCAGTAATGTTGCTCATGGGGAATTTCAGTAATGTCACTCATTGGGGAATTATAGTAATGTTAGTCATGGGGAAATATCAGTAATGTTAGTCACTGGGGAATTTCAGTAATGTTGCTCATGGGGAATTTCAGTAATGTTGCTCATGGGGAATTTCATGTAATGTTACCTCATAGGAAATTATAGTAATGTTAGTCACATTTCAGTAAGATGAATGGGGAATGTTATTTTGACATCTTAGTACAGATATTTACTAACCAGAAATCAGCCTTTGCCTTATTTGGACAGTATTTAATAAGATATTACATCACATGTATGTTTCCTTCACTCATTTTGCAATACACATGTCATTGTCTCCTTCTATGCATTTTAACGTAAAGTCTAATAAAGAACCCTCATAACTCTATAAAAATCAAATATAGCAATGAAAAAGAACGCCTGGAAATACATGCAATGATTGAAAAATATTACTTTGTTTGAAATGTAAATAAATCAAAATTCGCTATTTTTAATGTAGGAACTACGGTAGAAAGATCCATTTGTCTATTTTGCTCAGCGAAGTTACATAGAAACAGTACGTGGATAAAAAATGTGAATGGGGTTGGGTTGGTGAATGTTGCCTTAACCTCTAGGCTACTGCTAACCACCCTACCTGGTATGACCAGAGCGAATAAAATGAATGAGAGTTGCCAGGTAATCCACAGCCACAGTTTCTAAATAGACTAGTTATGTCTACACTCTTGTCATCTTTTGATGTTCAGTTATGTTACTCATTGGGTACCATCATCTTGATGATTCCATCATTAACTGTTACAGTGAGTCTCTGAAAAATTCCAAGCCTAACTATGGATGACCTTGAGGGAGTTGAGGGTTAAACTAGGAGATAAGCATCATGTGTTGGCCAATTTCTGGGTGTTATTTAGTATTTGAAGCTTCATATCTTTATGACTTTATATCACAATATGATTTGAATGATGTCACCACTGCGGACAACGCAACAATGCAATCGTGTACAATATTTGTACGCAGAGAATAGTCTTGCAATATTCCAGGAATCGAATACCATTCGATCATGTTTTTCAACCAATCAGATTAAAGAACATAGTGACTTTTGGTTTACAATACTTTACAACGTAATTCCTTCTGTCATCCATACACTTCTGGCAATAGTGCTGAAGTGCCTGGAACCTACACTTACTCTTGGCAGTGTAAAAAGGCCAGAGATGATATTGTCATTACATAATGTTTGCCAGGCAGTTCTTTGCTTAAGCTTTGGAAGAGTTGGAAATCTGAAGTGGTGCCAAATCGTCTGTGTTTCAAAGCTTTAGTCTGTCATTGCAGCCATGGTGACAACATACTTCGTTGAAGGCAGCATAAGACATTTCCATTCTCTTGGTTGTTTTACTGATTGGCTGATAGTGGTAAAAACAGGACTCATTCATAGGTATAACCCACCCAACAAAATCATTTGGATCTGCTCCAAGGAGAAGTAAATTCCCACATGAGATAGAAAACGTGAAGCATATGTGATAAGGAATAGGAAGGCTTGAATCTAACTGAAAACATGGTGCAGGTATGCATGGGACCAGGTTAGACTTGTTCAGTGGTTCAAAGGAAAACCAACAAGGTCAGGTACCATTAACTTCGTATATTCTGGTGAAGGGTACAACAGAGGCATGCACCACATGGATGCCGCCATATTGGATTTTTTACCCAAAAGTTGGAATGATGCAAAATGTAGGTTGAAACGGAATTGGCATGCTAAAACGAAATAAGATTCATAGATAAAGTGAATGACCATTTTGGTCTTAAAAGGACTTTGTAACAGCCACCCCAAAATTTAAGCATTAAATTTGAAATAACAAAAGTCCTTAGAACATTCTGGAATAGTTCCTAGGAACTGAAATAGTAATTCAAGTGTCATTTGGGTCCACTGAACATTCTGGCAGAGGGACGAGTTTGGCCACAGGCCTCGTATAGTCCTTGTTCTTAACAGTTACTGTGGCCGTCTGAACATGACCATCTTGTCCTGGGTGAGTCTGGGTCACACGTCCCACTGGCCACTGGCTACGGATTGACTGATTGTCAACAATCATGACAACATCTCCTTCCTGGATGTTGACTCTTGGTTTCTACCATTTGCTCCGTAGCTGCATGTTGGGCAGATAGGATTTTATGAAGTGGGTCCAAAAGTGGTCCGCTAGGACCTGGCTGTGCTTCCATCTCTTCCGGGTTAGGAGTTGGTCCGCAGGATACACAACCTGAGGTAAAGACGTGTCATGCCGCCCCATTAGGAGAATGTTGGGTGTGATTGAGTCCAAATCTCTAGCATTTGATGACACGTAGGACAGTGGCTTCGAGTTGAGAATGCCTTCGACTTCAAGACAAGACAGTGCTAAGGTTGCCGGTAACAGTCTGTTGACCAAGTGACACTCTGAGGCCATGTTTGACTGATCTGATCTCCCTCTCCCACAATCCTCCATGATGGGGTGCACTTGGAGGGTTGAACACAAATTCTACCTTTTGGTTGACAAGGTAGTGACGTAGTTCTGGTTCCATTTCAGACCATGCGTCCTGTAATTCTGATTTAGCACCTTTGAAGTTGGTGCCCTGGTCTGACAAGAGTTCATGAGGTTTACCCCTTCGGGATACAAAGCGGCGGAACGCCATGAGGAAAGCATCTGAATCCATAGACTCAAGGAGGTCTAGGTGCACTGCTCGGGTAGTCATACACTTAACAATCACTCCCCATCGTTTCTCTAAACGACATCCTATCTTCACCTGTATCGGGCCAAAACAGTCTACTCCAGTTGAGTAAAAGGCTGGTTTGAAGAGTTGGAGACGGGCTGGTGGTAGGTCGGCCATCTTCTGAGTTGCAGGGTTGGAACGCCACTTCTGGCAGGTAGCACACTTACGTTGATGTCGTTGTATGGCCTCTCTGCCACGGAGGACCCAGAATCTGCGTCGGATCTCGGCAAAGAGATGTTTCGGACCGTAATGCAAGAGTTTCTCGTCATGATCTCTGATAATCAGTTTGGTGATCTCGTGGCTTGGATCAAGAACTATGGGATTCTTGATATTCGAATCCAGCTCGACGGAGTCTGCCGCCTCCACGGATCAAGTCAAGTTCTGGATCGTATTCAGGATCAAGTTGAATCAGTCGACTATCGTGTGGTAATTGCTTACCAGACTTGAGGCAATCAAAGTCCTTTGAGAAGCACTGTTGTTGTACTTGGCGGTACAGATAGTTCTCAGTTTGCTCAACATGTTCAGGAGTCAGTGTCTTAGTTTCCTCTTTAGGGTCCGTCCCGTCAAGGGCTTCATTTACATCAGAGATGAATACTTCCCATGATTCATACTGTGTTGGGTCAGGCAAAGTGGGTGTCTGTGTCACAATCGTTGACAACATGGCAGATTTCCTAAGTTCTGCTGGCTCGTCACTGCCTGTTGATGGAGATTCAGGCCATTCATCTGCTGACTGTCGGAGGAAGGCAGGTCCATTTCTCCATCTGGATTCTTCAACAAGGTCTTTGACACTCAGGCCTCGAGTGATATCATCAGCTGGGTTTTGCTGTGTGTTCACATACCTCCAGCAATGTGTGTCGGTGAGGTTCTGAATTTCAGCTACTCTGGCTCCAACGAATACCTTGTATCTGCAAGATTCAGACTGCAACCATGTGAGCACAGTAGTAGAGTCACTCCATAGATAAGTAGCTTGGATCGGTAGCGTTATTTCACACTGCAACAGGTCTGCTAACTGAGCACCTGTCAGAGCTGCACACAGCTCTAGCCGTGGTATGGTTAACTGTCTCTTCGGTGCAACCTTGGATCTCGACATCACGAAGCTGACAAAAACCCTTCCATGTCGATCTTCTGAGTGCAAATAGGCGACTGATCCATATACCCTTTCGGGTCACAGAAGATGCGTAATTGTGTAGTTGAATCGTCTGGATCAAACCCTTGAGGAATATAGCACTTTGGTAGAGTAATCAGAGGGATGAGTCCCAGCTCACTTTCCCAAGCAAGCCACCTGTCACGAAGTTGCCCATTTTCAATGGAATCGTTCCAGTTTCTCTTTGACTTCCATAAGTCTTGTACTATGACCTTGGCTTGGCCAATGAACGGTGACAGATACCCGGTGGGGTCATATTGGCTTGCTAGCACTTTGTATACCATTCTCATGGTTAAATTGGGGTAGTCTACATTTCTGTGTTTGTAGGTAAGTTCATCTGATTGACAGTCCCAGCGTAAGCCCAAAGTCGGTTCTCTAGGTTCACCCTGTCCAAAGTTGAGCCACAGGTCTGCAGCCTCGGACCTTGCTTCAGCAGGGGAGATCGGCGACAACCTCAGGAACACATTACTTTACCCACTGTCTTATGTTGAATCCACCGTCTGTGAGCACATTTTCGCATCTTGGTGACAAGCTGCTTTGCCTGAGTTTGGTTCTCGAAACTGTCCAAACAGTTATCTACATAGAAGGATTCACTCACTGATTTGAACACTTCCTCATTGCCTGTCTGGTTTTCAGCTGCATGTTTCAACAATGCATGGCTTGCGCAGCAGGGGGAGCAGGTAGTACCAAAGGGCAGAACTTGCCATTCATACACGTCTGGTGGATGATCGCATTGCATGTCTCGCCACAGGAAACGAAGCAAGGGTCAATCAGGTGGAAGCAGTCTGATTTGGTGGAACATAGCTTTGATGTCGGCAGTTACTGCCACTGCATGCTGTCGGAACCGGAGAAGCACTCCTAGAAGTGATGATCCAATGGTAGGGCCTGCTAACAAGTGATTGTTAAGATTTTTAGATTCAAACTTGAATGAACAATTGAACACAAGGCGATGTTTTCCGTTATGTTCAAACACATGGTGAGGGATGTACCAGGACTCTTTCGAATCGCTTATCTCGTCATCAGTGAGTTTTCTCACAAATCCAGATTTATCAAGCTTCCGAATAGCCTCATTGTGCGTTCTGGCCATATCAGAATTGTCCTTTAGTCGTCGTTCAGTATGCTTCAGAGTTGGGAGAACAGCTTCCACCCTGACATTGAAACGGGTACCATCATGACAGCGTAAGAGTGGGGTTGCGTAGTGACTTACGCCATCCACCTCAATTCTTGTGGTCTGAGAATCTAGTATTTCCAGTGCCATCTTGTCCTGTTTGGAGCGAATGACCTGTTTACTCGTAAAGGGAAGAGTGTCCAATTGCCAAAGTCTCTCCACACAGTGAGATGGCGAGAGATCAGCTGGTCGAGTCTGGTTCAGCAGACAAGTGTTCCTCTTCGTCTGCCCTAGCATCATCGACGGACCTTGGACAGTCCAGCCAAGGTTGGTGTGGACACCACTAGGAGCATCTGAATTACCAAAGCGTACTGGCTCTATAGGCAAGATCAGCTTTGAGTTGTCGGATCCTATCAGAATACATGGCACTGCTCCATTTATCTTTGGTAGAGGAAGGTTTTCCAGATGAGTACAGCCCTACTGCATATTCTCTATGGGATATGTGTACTCTGACATGCACAGTAGGGCTGGGACGGATACTCGGGTACTCGAATCCGGGTCGGGTACAGCTGGAATCGAGTCATATTTCAAGGAATCGAGTATCCGGAAAGGGAGAGAACTCTGTAATGACAAGGGTGGGTAACTCTAGCCTAGAGGAATATGGACGACGCGCATGCAAAGTTGAGTATTTGGGCTAATTGTGAGCTTGATGCAAATGGCAAGAAAACCAAATGCCGACTCTGTGGTACCATGCCAATCTACTACCGGAAGCAGTACAAGTTCAATGCACAAACATCTTGCACTAAAACACAACGTAAAACATTGCGTGTCCGATCATTACATTGTGTAACTGTGTTCATTGCTTATCAAGTGAGTTCATTAAAAGTGTTTAAGATTACATTGAATTTTGTCTTTAGTTTCTATTTTATTTCAATTTCATGAAACACAGCTGTTACATTTAAGCGTCAAACCTGAATACACTGACTATTAAAGAGATTGCAACTGAATGATTGTGTGTGTTGGGAAAAGCAATTAATACTAATGAATTAACATATTTAAACGAACGTATACCAGTTTTGAAAAGAGCACATTCTGATTTGCAAATACAATGTTCGACTGGTTATTATTACAATAAGAAGAAAGATGATCAGAAATAGAAGCACAAGTCCGTAACTCACATACAATACCACTGCAGTTTCTATACATTTTATAGTTTAACAAATAATAACGCATACAGTTATCCCAATGAAGACACGCAATGTTTGCTTAGATGCAACTTTGGAATATTGATTTAATAATACATGTAATTGTTTTTGTAAATTTAAAGCGTGATAATATAGCATTTAGATACATTTCTTTATCCCTACATTCAAACAAAAGCATTTGAATGCGACATTTATCTTCTGGAAGGATAAAAATTAAATCACCATAAATATTTCATATACGGCCAATGAGTTATTCACGGCTCTGTATTAGTCTCTACTCTGTAATGTATGATAGGCAAACTTTCATGCAACTGAGCAAAATGACCACTCTTCATAGATGCTATGTTGCCAACTCAGTTGCATTAAAGTTTGCCTGTCTGTATATCTCGTATAGAATTCTCCAGGCAGTAAATATATCAATCACATTTTATTCTATATAACTTTACATAAAGTCTGCATGTAAAACCATTATAGGTTCAGTTAAAATATCACACATGATCGTAGCTGTCTACTGGCTGAATGAATAACTGGTCATTTTCATTTTTAACATTAACACGTATTTTTGGTATTGTCCGGTTAATGGAGGTTATCATAGCGGCGTTAATTTATCTGTGCATGAGCAGTGAGTAGTCAAGTCACAGTAAAGCGGGAATGAAAAGTGTTTTAAAATGTTCTGTGTTTTAAGCAGCAATGTAAGTAATCGTGTTACTCTTTATATTGGTTATAAACACACTTAAGTCAGATTGCCTAAGATCAGTTTCAATGCCTCATTGCGATCCTTTCAGGTTTTCTATATAATCTCTGTCAAATCGTGATTGAATATTCAGAAAGCTGACAGAAGCTATGTATTCCTAACATTTCCGGGTACTCGATTCCGATTCGGGTAAGTAAATACGTGCGGGTACTCGATTCCATTTTTTCCTACCCGTCCCAGCCCTAATGCACAGATTGTCTGCAGTGAAGGCATTGTCGATGTCAAACCTAGTGGCTGGCTGGTCTGCTGACGAAATCTGGAGTTTCACAGATTGTCCACTACAGTGCACTGATTCTTGACTTATTGTTGTAAGGAGAATGGAATCCTGTTTCCCAGTGAGTTGAAGCTGCTGAGCCGTTGATTTCAATATCATGGTTCGCATAGATCCATCATCAAGGATTGCGTATGTCGATACTGTGCTGCAGGGACCATGTAGGATTACTGGCACAATCTTTAACATAATGAGTGCAGGATGTGATGGTTGATCCATGTAGTAAACTTTGGATGATGTCTGCTGAAGGGCATCATGTAAGACTGTTAGATGCAACTGCTTACAAATGTGACATGGCTTTCTCAAGGTGCATTCCCTTTCTTTGTGGTTTCGGCCACACCTGCTGAATCTGTTTTGACCCAGCCACTTGGAAATCTCACTTAATGACAGCTTCTTGAATTCAGGACACCCATTCAGGAAGTGGTCCCCACTAATACAATATGGGCAAAATGGCTTAGCTCTATTCACAGATGAAGTCTTGGCCTCCCTGGTCAGGAATAAAGCTGTTGGATTAGGTTGTCTATTGCCCAACCGAGGCGGTGGAGGCTTCCAATTCTCTCTTGGGGTCATGCGAACTGCATTTAAGCTCAGATCCATTTCCACTTTCCACTGACTTCAGCATTCCTACTAAAGAACGTACGGAGAGAGCAAAACTGTCAAATGCATCGAGATCCCCGTACCTCAGTACAGGTGTTCCCATAAGGGCTCCTAATTCACTCTGAACAAGCTGTCGTGGCTGTCCATATCTCTCCTTCAATGCTTGGAGTGTGGCTGTGAAGGGCCTCTCGTCGTGCATGAATGCTGAAGCTAGTCTCTTAGGGGGACCTCCAAGCCTGAGAGTAGAATTTGATATTTGTGTTGCTCGGTCAAGCCTGCATGGACGCTTACCAGATTATCCAGGGCTATCTTCAGTAGGGCAAAATCCTTTTCCTTTCCACTGTTGAAGTTAGGTATGAATAGTTGAGACATGGTTGGTGTCACTTGTGGGTTGACAGGGTGGAAGTCATAGGGAATTGGATTAACATTCACAGTGTCACTCAAGGTTGAATTAGAGTGTATCAAATTCTGCCTGTGGGTTTCATAGCGTGGATCAGCACAGTTTGGTTGTGAGTAACATGGTTGATAAGGGTAGTTGTGTATTCTTGGTGATGCTTGGTCAATAAAGTTTGCAAACGATGTCTGGGATGACATGGCTGCTGGTATGCTTGATGGCATCAAGACATGAGTGTCAATCGAATCAGGACCTGGTATCCCAGAGGACATCATGATGGGAGAGTGGACCACACCGGGAGACATCATGACTGGTGTATGGACAGCACTGGGAGCTGGTACACTGGAGGATGTCTGGAAGGAAGAGTGGACAGCACTGGGAGCTGGTACACTGGAGGATGTCTGGACGGAAGAGTGGACAGCACTGGAAGCTGGTACACTGGAGGATGTCTGGACGGAAGAGTGGACAGCACTGGGAGATGGAAGTGGTGCTCATCACAACAGGGGAATCTTCATTTATCATACAGTCAAGGAAACTTGCCTCTTTTAATCCGGCTTCCACTTCCCGAATTCTCCTTAAGTGGGTGATCTTGGTTCCTAGTCGCTCTCGTTCTCGTTGGGCTTCGCGTTCTATCTCATGAGCCCTCCTCTGCGTCTTTAGAATTTCCATTTCAGCCTCCTCCTGTGCCTTTCGTGCTATGTCGTCACATCTTGTTAATTCCTCCTGTGTGAGGATATCCTCCTCAAATCTTCTTTGCAATTCCTCTAGTTTGGATAATTTCTTTAGTTTCTCTAGCCTTGCAGTTTGCTTGTCTGACAGCTGTGAGGTCACAGATCTTTTTGATCCTTGGGAAGTTCTGCTACATACAGAGCTGTTGCCAGATATTGTGGATTTTGAATTTTCTGATTTCCTATTTCTTCCAGTTCTATTCACTGATTTCGATGACTCTACTGACTTTCTGCTTCTTTGAGTCACAGATTTGTTTGCTTCTGTTACAGCAACTTCCTCATCAACATCCATAGGTGGGTTTGATAACACATAGTCCTCCCTGAGGTGCAAGGGTAGTTTACTTTCCCTCTGTGACTGTCTTACCATTGCTATTGGATCTTGAGAGGTGTGCTCCTTTGACGCCATTTTCCACTTTATATCCGCCTCGCGGGACCATGAAAATACGGTGCAGGTATGCACGGGACCAGGTTAGACTTGTTCAGTGGTTCAAAGGAAAACCAACAAGGTCAGGTACCATTAACTTTGTATATTCTGGTGAAGGGTACAACAGAGGCATGCACCACATGGATGCCGCCATATTGGATTTTTTACCCAAAAGTTGGAATGATGCAAAATGTAGGTTGAAACGGAATTGGCATGCTAAAACGAAATAAGATTCATAGATAAAGTGAATGACCATTTTGGTCTTAAAAGGACTTTGTAACACTAACAATCTAAAACCTTTGTCTTGGCCAGTTCATATTTCAAGCTGAACTTTCTCATGAACTTTGCCTACTGTATTGACTTTTCGTTTGTTTCAGTAAAGTGTAATTAACTCTTTCCATCTTTTCATCTTTATTCACTTTCATTAAAATACTTAGTATTTCAGACCAGAAGAGAAAAAAAAAGGACGTCTTTTTTTAGCCCAGAAATGCAGCTTTTTCTAAAAGGAGAAACATAATTGAACTTACACAGCAGTGTGATATTTATGACAATTATTTTCAAGCTAGTGACTACACTATGGTAGAAGAACAACCACAATTTAGTAGATTTATGTCATCACTTAGAATTATAGGGTCATGACATCCAAAGAACAATGAAACAAGTGTTACCTGTGGTAACAGTTATAAGAACAATCAAACGTCAACGTCGTAACAGCTACTCTCATCATCACAAATGGCAGATAGAGCTTGGCTTGCAGTCTGATATGATTTTCGATGACCAGTCATTTAACGCTGTGTGGTCACCGAATGTCAAGGTCAGATAGCAATTGGTTTTGACGAGGGGAGATAATCAAGTATGTCCTAAAAAAATACACTGTCACAAACACGAATTGCATGCGAAGGACGAGGATACACGGCTAGAAAACAGTGAAATATGTTTAGTATGAGTAGAGAAGTTATCGCGTCCCTTGTATGGAAACACTGTAAAAAATCCAACGTCATATCTCGTCCATCGAATTCAGCTGCTGCTGCTGGAAAAATCTTGTCATATGCAAGGGTTGTAGATAACTAGACGTAATATCACGTCCTTAGGATATATGTGCAGCTGTGAACATTATTCGTCGTATGGAAGAGTTAATAGGTATGCCAGCTTTACCTACTGTATTGACTTTTTGTTTGTTTCAGTAAGTGTCATTAATAGGTATGCCAATCTTTGTTGTCAGAAGGGGACAGGCACGTGGGGAGAAAACATGATCTGTTGTTGCAATATGGATACATTGTCAAACATAGAGAACAAGCACTGATTCCTCACAGCAATGACAGACGATATATGCATCACTGACTCAACTGTCAGTGATTTAAGGGCCACTGATTCAGAGCGATTAATGTTTCCAGCCAACAGTCTAAGTACGAAACCTAGCTGCAAATTGGTAAGCCCCTGCACCCTCGACCGTGACGGACATAGGGACTGGGCTGCTGTCCACTGTGGCAGAATTTCTTCAACCTAATCAGTGGGACATTAGGAAGGGGTCTTCTCGTTCACCCAGCAGCTTAGGGGATTAATAGCTATGCTAAAAAACAAAAGGTGATGGGTAAGTGATAATGACCCCCTATGATAAATAAGGGTGGTTGCCCATAAGATGTCGTTATTTGAAAATATCCCCATCAGTTCTTTTCTGATTGTAATAAAGTATCCCAGGCAGTGTAGGCTTTTTCAGATTTTCAAATGTTTGGATGGTATAGTGACTGATCCAATTTGATCCTATTTCTGTGTTTTTACCTCAATATTTAATCATGTAAAAATATGATGTCTATTACGTATGCTATGATATCAAAAACACACATTTGATGTATTTGAATCAATAAACTAAACAACCACACTTTGCCATTGCCAAATAAAATCTGAAATTTTACTTAGGTGCATAGGTATATACAGTTTTTAACTAAGTACACAGCAAATGCTTATATATATTTCTGATGTAACAATGAAGTTCCGTTCGTATCCCCAAAACAGTGTCTGCCCATAAGTTTTTTTTCAGGCAATCAAACTTGCACGCAATACAGCGATTACTACTCTCTTGCTGTAACCCTTGTTTGGTGGTAAACCTACATGTTATTTGTCATCATTCACTTGATGGTCAGTTATGAATTTATAACAGGTATAATTAATGATAACACCACTCAGATTACACGACAAAGGTTCCCATTTGGCATTGCTTGTGTCTGGAGTAAATACTCATCATTAGAAATTGAGGTCTGATGTGGCAAATATGTCAAACTGGTGCTTGCAAAATATTGCGCATCCGCCAGTATACAACTACTGGAAACTCTCAACATCATTGGGCTTATGCAATGACATAGCTCGTAGAGATGAAACACCAGTGAGCGGAGCTTATACGCACTCGCTGAGCAAGACAACCATGTTGCCATGCAGGCGTCATAGGGCATTGTTTCGAGATCGTGCTTTCAAACAAAATCACATTACATTACGTAAAAGGGTATTATGACGTATTGTTAAAGTTTGTGGTGCTGTATTCTAAAGGTAGGCCAAAGGATTAACTGATAATACGCTGATTGATTAATTGCTCTTATCCTGCACAGCGGATTTGTCAAAAGGTAGTGATTATGGATGTATATTTACTAATCTATACTGAATACAACCTGTCGTAAAGTCTCTTTTTAAAAACAACGTCCTTCCTTCAAACGATTAACCGCCAATACATTGATTGATTGCTCATTATTGGCTAACAAAATTACTTTGTAAAGAATGGCGGACCAATAGGATAATACCAATGTGAAAAACCTGAAACGATAGATCACTTTTTAGCATATTAGACTGCTAAAAGACACATGACATGGAACAGGATTCTTTGTCAGCTGCAGATGAATGGCATCTCATTCCTTTATGTGGATATTGATGGATATTTCCCCGAACAAGGTAATAGCCTGATATCGTTGCTATAACTTTAGTCTGTTTTAAATTTTAATATTTGCATTTTGTTTTAATTTGTTTGTTATGGCATTCAACAGAATCATTTTTTTTGGCCGTGAAGTGTAATGAGACAGACAACGTACACTAGGTCGCACTAAGGGTGTGTGTGTGAAATATGATGCATGTTCGCAATCTATAAGATGTCTAGATATTACAGTCATGTTATAAATTCACTAAGTATAAGCAGACCGTGTGCATTTTATTAAGTTTCAAAATGCATGCAAATATGATAATAAACTAATTAGGATTATAAGACAAAATATAAAGACGTACATTGACTTCGTTATTTCAGTCCTAACATTTTTTACCACTGGCAGATGGTTAAACTTAAAATGTTTTCATTTGTTATCAAAATAATGCCATTTAATACACCATTAAGATTGACTAGTAGTGAACCCGAGCTCACTACTCTCCCCAGGACTCCCCATGTGCTTAGTTAGCCTTACTTTCAAACAATGCTATTATATCAGGCTTCTCACCAAATTCAAGGTCAAACTATTTCTTAAATCAATTTTACATACATTATGTTAACATTTTTATAAAGTCAACATTACTATGAAATCAAAATTTTACATCAAAATCAGCATTTTTATCAAAGTGAAAAGTTTTTTGGTAAGAAACCAAATTAGTCTACATAAATTTACAACAAAATCAAGATTATTGAGCAAAACAGATTTCATCTTCGTTGATCAGTCTATACCTATAGTATCAGTTGCGCACGAGGGTGGCGCAGCAGAGGTAATGAACCAGTCATGAATTCTGGGATATCATCCGGGTACTCACAGGAGAAAAACAACAACAAAAGCAACAACCAGTCCACAGAAATTGCTCTGCATCAGTGGCCCTTTAAGTGAGGATATGGGAGGGAACACCCAGTTTTGTTGTCAAACAGACCTGTCATTATGCATCTCCATGTCTTCAGATGACCTCACCACATCATTGTAGATTATGACCGAAAGGGTGGGTCGATGATCCAAAATAGTTAAAAATATAATACCTATAATTTGGATGTCAGAATGATACAACATATATGTTTTTGTAACCAGCTCAAACATTGAGGTTCAGGCTGAGCACTCACACGTGACATGCCTTCCACTTTGCATATGCACTGGGGAATTTGTCACAATATGTCGTATTCCCATCAACTGATAAGGATGACCGACAGAGAAAAGAATATCTTTTGTTATGGATGTGATATTATCCCAGTTGCCGTGAAGTGATAGTGGTGAGGAGTTTAACGAGTACTACCTGGTTATATATTTGGTTCAAATACAGACTTTGAGCATGGGAAGTATTGTACTGACAGATACTCAAACAGTAATGTACAGTGGGTCAATACTGGCATGGGTACAACCTGATATCTAACCAGGTATGTTCCTGTAAGCAGGTATGTTCCCCGAAGGGGGTGCACAGCTTTCATAGGTTCAGCCACGCCTTATAAGTTGGAAATGTTGAAAAGTACAGCACAAGCCACGTAAGATTATTTTCACATGTGATATGGTTGAAGTCATAGGTATTTGTTAACTTGTTTATCATCAAGAGACCAATCTAACACACAACATCATCTTGTCATCTACCCAACTTGATTTGATCAATATTAGATAATATCTTTCCTTCCTCTTGAAAACAGTATCAAGCTTAAAACCTGCTCATATGACCTTTCACTGTTACCTAAAAGTGTACATCCAGAACTAAACAATAGTTACCAGGACATTAACTTGAGGCATTTAGATACAGATTCTCTTAAACAGGATAAATCAACACTCACCTCCAAGTGGTGGAGAAGTTGTCAGGCTTGATGTTCAGTGTGTGCACGGTTCCATCTGGACTACGAAGATCATCTGACTGGTCATTGTTGTACATTCCACACAAACCTGAAAGCATATTTTTTTCCTTTTAGCAGTACCCTTCTTTGTTCATTCTGTGGGAAAACACTTCTGTACACACATTATTCCTGAATCTGCGAAAGGCAATTTTCTTTACTTGTCTCTCAAGAGCATAGAGGCTCATAATTTGCAACTTCTTCATAATTTCTACAGTCATCTCATGTACAAACAACCATCTACAAATCAGTAACTTTAAAATACCATTCTGCCTCACAACAGGAAGTAACCATTGGGTTAGCTATCACAAATTTTGAAGTGCATGATCAGAATTTTGTTTTAAAATACTAATTTTCTGTCAACAATTCTTTCTCATTAAATGAAATGAATACAATGTACTCTACCCACATGTATAGTGTAAACAGAGATTACTATAAATACCATTTATCTTACAATGTTTTGTTTCAAAACTTATTTAACAAACAATAGCTGCTTTTTACATACAACATGAATTACGTTCAATAATAAGGTCGGATAGATTCAAATTACATATTTTCTCATCATATCGGTGCAGTAATACACAAGGTTTATACAAGACTGACATCACTCAGTTCCCTGATCACTACATATCCCCAAGGTGGCCCTCCACAAAAGCGTTTCTGCCACATCTGTGCATTATCAATAATAGTCATATTATATAATAATGTGATAATAATTCATTCTAGATAAGATCTAAGAAAATTAGAAAACCTCTGAAATGATAATGTTGCCATGTAAATGTTGATGATTTTTTTCTTGCAAGTGTAAAATAATTGAGCGTGTGACACTCATTGAGTTTTCACACAGCTGTCATCATCAGAAGTTTGACCGGATATCTCTGCACGATGTACTTTATTACAGTATACATATGGGTAGAGTGCTTTGTACTTTATTACACTATACATATGGGTAGTGTGATCTGTACTTTATTACACTATACATATGGGTAGTGTGATCTGTACTTTATTACACTATACATGTGGGTAGAATGAACTGTTCTATATTATACTATACATATGGGTAGAGTGATCTGTACTTTACTACACTATACATGTGGGTAGAATGAACTGTTCTATATTATACTATACATATGTGTATTGTGATCTGTACTTTACTACACTATACATGTGGGTAGAATGAACTGTTCTATATTATACTATACATATGGGTAGAGTGATCTGTACTTTACTACACTATACATGTGGGTAGAATGAACTGTTCTATATTATACTATACATATGTGTATTGTGATCTGTACTTTATTACACTATACATGTGGGTAGAAACTGTTCTATATTACACTATACATATGTGTAGTGTGATCTGTACTTTATTACACTATACATGTGGGTAGAATGAACTGTTCTATATTACACTATACATATGTGTAGTGTGATCTGTACTTTATTACACTATACATGTGGGTAGAATGAACTGTTCTATATTATACTATACATATGTGTAGTGTGATCTGTACTTTATTACACTATACATGTGGGTAGAATGAACTGTTCTATATTATACTATACATATGTGTAGTGTGATCTGTACTTTATTACACTATACATGTGGGTAGAATGAACTGTTCTATATTATACTATACATATGGGTAGTGTGATCTGTACTTTATTACACTATACATGTGTGGGTAGAATGAACTGTTCTATATTATACTATACATATGGGTAGTGTGATCTGTACTTTTATTACACTATACATGTGGGTAGAATGAACTGTTCTATATTATACTATACATATGGGTAGTGTGATCTGTACTTTATTACACTATACATGTGGGTAGAATGAACTGTTCTATATTATACTATACATATGTGTAGTGTGATCTGTACTTTATTACACTATACATGTGGGTAGAATGAACTGTTCTATATTATACTATACATATGTGTAGTGTGATCTGTACTTTATTATACTATACATGTGGGTAGAATGAACTGTTCTATATTATACTATACATATGTGTGTTGTGATCTGTACTTTATTACACTATACATAGGGGCGGTGGGGTAGCCTAATGGTTAAAGCATTGGCTCGTCACGCCGAAGACCCGGGTTCGAATCCCAGCCCATTTCTGGTGTCCCCTGCCGTGATGTTGCTGGAATATTGCTAAAAGCGGCGTAAAACCAAACTCAGTCAGTCAGTACTATACAGTTGGATAGTGATTTGTACTTCTCTACTTTATACATGCTTCAGCATTTCCATATTCAATGTATCTCTCTTAATAACTGTGACTGGTTAACTTGGTGCTGTTTTAATGTTTCATCAGTAGCTCATTGAGACTGGAAATATGTTAGGTGCATGTTGTTATAATGTGTTGATTACCTGTTGTTTTGTTGACATCAGCTGCAGAAGGCCTCAGCCACACATTGAGGAAGTTGTAACCAGGGATGATGCTGATGCCAACTCGCACTTCCATCCCTGTTGGATACTGAATCTGTCGCAGGGAAAAAACATGATTTCATATTCTGAGAATTTACAGGGCTCGATTTAGTGCTTTGTTACTTGCACTGGTGCAACCCAATATTACAAAGTGCAACCTAGTTATAAGTCTAACTTGCACCAGGTGCAAGTCAATTTTTGAGTGGGTAAACTTCTGAATAGAACATCTAGATAATTCAATAGCATATTTCTGATATTACATATTGCAATATAAACAGTGTAACTGGAATTTCACTGGTGCAATCAGGTTTATATCTAAGGTTGTACCTGGTGCAAGTGGGTTAACATCTCTTAAATCGAGCCCTGGTTTCTATCTAAAGAATGATCGGCATTTTGCATAGAGTTTGTTTCACATCTAAGTTAGTTGGACACTATGTACCAGGTACATTAGTTTGGCACATTTGAACAGTATCAGTAAGGACAATAATTCTCTAACACTTGAGGTAACCTACGAACCTCATGATTTTTCCTGCAGGTACTTCAAGGAATGTAGTCAGGGAGTTTTAAGGGATGGATGGGTGGAACAAACATCATAAAAATATTGAAAAATTATTTTGTACACAAATTTTAGGGGGGATCATTCACATTGTACATGTTTCTCCATAAATATTATCCCATAATTACACTCCCTTAGTTGGACACACATGCATGATAGTGGGATACATATGTTCATTACTTCAAAACACATGCATGATAGTGGGATACATATGTACATTACTTCAACACACATGCATGATAGTGGGATACATATGTACATTACTTCAACACACATGCATGATAGTGGGATACATATGTTCATTACTTCAACACACATGCATGATAGTGGGATACATATGTACATTACTTCAACACACATGCATGATAGTGGGGTACATATGTACATTACTTCAACACACATGCATGATAGTGGGATACATATGTTCATTACTTCAACACACATGCATGATAGTGGGAAACATATGTTCATTACTTTAACACACATGCACGATAGTGGGATACATATGTACATTACTTCAACACACATGCGTGATAGTGGGATACATATGTTCATTACTTTAACACACATGCATGATAGTGGGATACATATGTTCATTACTTCAACACACATGCATGATAGTGGGATACATATGTACATTACTTCAACACACATGCGTGATAGTGGGATACATATGTACATTACTTCAACACACATGCATGATAGTGGGATACATATGTACATTACTTCAACACACATGCGTGATAGTGGGATACATATGTACATTACAGCACATGCATGATAGTGGGATACATATGTACATTACTTCAACGCACATGCATGATAGTGGGATACATATGTTCATTACTTCAACACACATGCATGATAGTGGGATACATATGTACATTACTTCAACACACATGCATGATAGTGGGATACATATGTACATTACTTCAACGCACATGCATGATAGTGGGATACATATGTACATTACTTCAACACAAATGCATGATAGTGGGATACATATGTACATTACTTCAACACACATGCATGATAGTGGGATACATATGTTCATTACTTCAACACACATGCATGATAGTGGGATACATATGTACATTACTTCAACACACATGCATGATAGTGGGATACATATGTACATTACTTCAACGCACATGCATGATAGTGGGATACATATGTACATTACTTCAATGCACATGCATGATAGTGGGATACATATGTTCATTACTTCAACACACATGCATGATAGTGGGATACATATGTACATTACTTCAACACACATGCATGATAGTGGGATACATATGTTTGGCTCAAAAGCAGACCGATGAATTGCAGTCTAACACGAAAACCAATAAACATATAATACTTAATGAAATGCTGATCATAATCAAAACATCAGACCAATGGATAGTAAACTGTATGGTGGTGGCGTGTGGTCACGTGCATAGAGCTCAGATCGCAAATCAGTTGAAGTTAAGCAACGTCCAGCTCGGACAGTCCTTGGATGGGTGACCATGTTTGGCAGCTTGATTTCTGAGAGTTTCTAGGACTTCAGTCCTGCCCCACAATGAAGCACATGTCATACATGTGGTCTCACCTTAGGTAAGTGAGTTAGTTCCAAATTGCCTCTGTTCACCCGGCAGTTATCCAGGGTAATAGGAATCAGATTCTGATTAAGCGCCGCAAGCAAACACTTGGTGTTTGGAGACTGTGTGCTATAGAAGATGACTTATTATTATTATTTAAATTTTTAGGATAGTTTGTTGAACAAGTTTTTTATTACAGAAATTCTGCAAAATACTCACAGAGTTGGTCTGAAGTTCTAATTGTCATCAGCATTTCATTGAGTATCTTACATTTGTTAGTTTTCGAGTTAGATAGCAATTCATCAGTCTGAGCCAAACAGACTGTAGTTGGATACAAATGTACATTAGTATGACACATATGCATGTTAGTTTGACACATATGTATGCAATTTGACCACACATGTGTGTTAGTTGGATACAATTGTACATTAGTACGACACATATGTATGTTTAAGTTATCCACATATGTACGTTAGTTGAACATACATGAGTGTTAGTTATATACAGCAATACCTTAGTTGGACAATATATGACCATTCATTATATAGGTTTTACCAGGGAGACTTACTATATACATTCGGCCTTCGTCCCTACTGAATGTTCGGAAGCCAGGTGTCACAGCACCATTCCTGAACATCCTCACTGTTACAGGGTTGGAGTTCTCAGTAGCAATGGCACCACCATAGTCAATGTGAACCACATCATTCCCTGCTCTGGCAGCGACAGCTACTGTGCAGGACATCCGGCCATGGCAGTCTCTCAGGAACACTTGAACCTAATGGCAAGCAATATCTACCAGTTAACAGTTATTTTCCACTGAGTCAGTCGGTGTGCCTTCAATGTGCATGTGAGTTAGAAACTATAAGTGTCATCTTATAGAGGGAGGAGGTAGTTCTTATCAGCAGATTATGACACAGTTAAGAGACTGAATACCCTAGATTGCAATACCCTAGTCTTCTGTGACAGCCATTTCACAGATTACATAGAACTTAGGTTAGTGTAGCTGTCATGTTGAAGGAGACAGTTTGACATTTTAGTGTATTGACTTTCACAGAGAATATTGCACTCGACTCCAGGCAATACACATTTGTTCAATATATGCATTAATCATACTTATAGTTTTGAAACAGACTTGTTACAGGAATTTTAGATTACTGCTGTATCTTGTTTTTTCCATTTTTTTCACATCCCTCATCTTTGCACAGAGTTATGAATGCCATATTCTGAGATTTGAATTATTTAAATTAAACATGAGAATGATTGTATTTATTATTTGCCACCAATCACATTATAACTACTTTGATCCACACAATCGTTCCCATGCATCTTTGAATATTGATGAAAGAAATAGAATGTAAAAAATTTATAGGAATTTTGTTTTTTCAATATGTAGCGTAAACAATCTCTCAGCTTTGACAATGAAAATAATTTGGGCACTTTTATAAAGACTCTAAAGTGTATCATGTGCTACCTTACACTGATAAGGACTTGACCCTCAATTTCTGACACTGCTTTATCTACTAAAATGATGAGTATATTACTTTAAGGTGTCAGAGGATGCTTGTGAAAAAGGGAATGATTTGATCATGAAGACAAAATATTTCTTTACAAGATTATTATAAGTTTATAAGTTATAAAGAGTCTGTAGAACATCTTATTTTAACACTAGAGACAACACGTGACAATCAACCTATTCCAGTGCTGTACTTACAGAGTAGGGCAATTCCGTGTGCTGATACAGAACAAATGGGCCGCGGTAGTACATGTGGTAGTAGCTGAAACAGTCATAGATACACCATCATGTACAGTGGGGTATATTGGGGTATATCAATAAAATCAGAGGATATAAATATATTCAAATGATCAATCTTATAGATTTAAGAAAAGTCCCTGTCAAGAATATATGAGCATACTCACAAGCCATCAAAAGTTGTAATGTGTGGATCATTGACAACCATACACAGGGCACCATAGTCTGCATCCACGATAGACAGCTGAAGCAATGAGAAATCTCAGTACAGTCACAAATAAGTGAATGAAGGAAAAAGATTCTTGGCTAGATTTTAACACAGAGAGTGATAGAGATATATCGACACAGATGGCAAGAAGAGACAGAAACTGTTATTGAGGAACAGTGACAGGTAAATACAGCATAACACAGTAACCAAGCAACTGACCTCAGACTTGAGCAGCTCAGATGAATGTTCCACCACGGAGCTAACCAGGTAGGAGGACATTACTGTCAGAGTTCTGTTGTGGTCACCCTCATATTTGCTGTCAATTGTTGCCCGCACGTTCAGTGAGTACTGTTTCTGCCAGTTATCTCTCCTGATCAAGAGCTGACAAAGAGGATGATCTTCCTCATCAGAAGAAAGTCTGAATGCCATCTGGGGTATAAATTCACCAGTCAGACACTGGACTTCAGTAGCATTATCAACTGATATGTCATATGAAATCTGAATTTCACACTCATCAGTGTTATTGAAGGACAAACCACGACATAGTACATATGGTGGAGCAGATGCCAATACTTGGATGGTCTCCCCTGGCTTCCCTTCAGTCAAGGTCATTTCGTTCAGTGCATTTTCCATCTGAAAGGCAAACAAACCTCATGCATAACTCATACTATGCCAGTATTCTACTTTTGTTTTCAGGCATCATTTAACAAATGAATGTGACATTTACCCTGCTATCATTGGAAACTGTTTTCCCATTACAATTAAATGGTGCTGCTTCTGAGGAGAGGCATTGGGTATGCATTGTCTATCTACAAGGTTGATAGACATCATGATACATCAACTAGTATAACCCACAATGCCAATCTGTATTTACACCTTGGGGCAAATAAATTGATATGCCAATGAAATAACTGTCTCCTTAAAAACACATGATCATAAATCAAATCCTATGTATGATGATATTTACAAACAATAAAGGTAACATTATAGAGTTTACAAAGATGCAACTATATTTCATGTTAGTCACAAGAGAGACAAATCTGCATAACTAACAAGGATACAAACATATATGTTGCAGCAAATGTGCTGTAAGAGTGTTGTGAATGTTTTACAGACAAATAGCAAACAATACTTACAGTTAGTAAGTGTGAGGAGCCGGAGAAAGTGACATTAACCGACACACACAGTGAGAGACACCGACACACACAGTCAGAAACACCGAGACACACAGTCAGAAACAGCGACACACACACAGTCAGAAACACAGACACACACACAGTCAGAAACACAGACACACACAGTGAGAGACACTGACACACACAGTCAGAAACACCGACACACACAGTGAGAGACACCGACACACACAGTCAGAAACACTGACAGACACAGTGAGAGACACCGACACACAGTGAGAGACACCGACAGACACAGTCAGAAACACCGACAGACACAGTGAGAGACACTGACAGACACAGTCAGAAACACTGACAGACACAGTGAGAGACACAGACACACACAGTGAGAGACACCGACAGACACAGTCAGAAACACTGACAGACACAGTGAGAGACACCGACAGACACAGTCAGAAACACCGACACACACAGTGAGAGACACCGACAGACACAGTCAGAAACACCGACAGACACAGTGAGAGACACCGACAGACACAGTCAGAAACACTGACACACACAGTCAGAAACACCGACACACAGTGAGAGACACCGACACACAGAGTCAGAAACACCGACAGACACAGTGAGAGACAGTAACCGAGAAAGTGGCATTAACAGACACAGAAACAGACACATTCAAACAGACAATCAGAGACTTTGAAACATACAGAGTCAGTTACAGACTAGCACTGTCAGAAACACTTAAAAACAGACACAAAGGTAGTGTTATTGGGATTATACACACAACCAAATCTAAAATTTGACAATTGTTAAATTTAATCTAAGTGGAAGTAGTGTGTACATTATTATTAAGATTGATGCATATCATACTGCCATCATCCAGGTCACAAAACAGACAATGTCAAGTGAATTGCTGCATCATTTAACTGAAAAATTAATTGCATGACATTCCATGACCCACCCCCAACCCCCCACCTGCTTGTCTAGGTTTTGGCAAGTACTGGAGTTGTCAATACCTCTACTGTTGCATCTCAGAAAGACACTGGAAGCTGTACATATACATAACAGTGTTTACTCTTGCCTTGGTCATTTCCCATTACATCAGTTGTGTGAAGAACTGGTTTTTCCATTATTCCCAGCCTGCACATATTTAGAAGCTTCACTACTTTTCCAGTTAGATAATATTTTCATTAATTAATATGACTGTGAGAGAGACTGAATATCACTTAACTGGATTAGTTACATGTTTTTATACAATGGCACCCAGCTCAGGAGTAGACAAATCAATGTCGTTGAAATTTGGGAAAACAATAATACACATTATACAGTTACCTTAATTTGTGCTGTGTACACATCTGAAACTGCCAGCAGGCCCCTAGTGTTCTCACAATCATCTGCATAGCAAGCACTTACTGCAGCTGTAATCTGAAACCACAGACAGGACAGTTTACACAAAATTCCTTTCCTGGTAATGTCATTGGAAAACTCAGTGTATATGTTACTATGCATACTAAATCATAACATAATGAAAGTAGATCAGTGGTTGATAACTAAAAGACAAACTGAACAAAAAATTCAGAAGAAGAAAAGAAAAGATAATTACATGACTTCCATGCTGCTCCAGACACAACAGATGTTATAGTTAGAAGAGTGAGGATCTAGATGAAAACTCCCATATTAAAAACTTTACTCATCTATAAAATACATCGAGGTATGTAACACATCTTATAACCTGCAAGTTTGTGATTTTGAAGTGCCTGCCACAAAACGAAACATTCACAAAATGTGTGGTGAAGTCTGTCAAAATGTTCATCACTACCTTTTAAAAACTCCTATATGATCGATGTCCTGCCAACTGTTTCAGCTGGTTCTGCTGGTATTGAGTGGCAGATTGTCCCAGCTTTACACTATATTGTACACATACATATTTGATATGTCCCCTTCAAATGTTCATCTATGACTATTAACATCATTACTACCATGTCATCTATACTTCAATTCTACAATTGATATTGAGAAGGCTTATTAAATTGCAATAACTTTGGACACATCAGTTGTTATAATTCAATCCAAAACACCACTGATTAAAGCAATAAACCTTGAATATGTGAAACCTTAAAAATGCCATGGTACTGGTGTTACATACGGTTGTCCCATTTGTGATGTTGTTAGCCAGCACATCATCCAGAATGTCCCCAGTCACATCAGTCCTCAGCGTGCTCTCATATGTCCACTGACCATCCACTTGCCACAAAACATTATAGTGGACACTGCGGCTAGTGACATTCACTTTCGTGAAGTTACACATAAAAGTATCATTGCCAGGTGCTTTGAAACTGGGTACAATTGCTATGCTGCCCACACTCACACTCCTCCGATCTAATGGGGATCCTGAAATTTGTTAAAATAGCTATAATTATGTTGTATTTTGGTTGGTTCTATGTAAAATAAGGGACCGTTCATAAGTTATGGCTAGGGGGGGTGATGATGATTTTAAAGGGAGGTCCACCCATTTTGTTCTGGGGAGGTAGAGGGGGTCATCAATTTTGTACACATGTACTGGGGGATCATCAACTTTGTACATTATAATATTTAAAAATTAGGCTTACAAAATATGGGAAGGGGGTGGGGGTCATTGATTTTCTACATGATATCCAGAGGGGGATCACTTACTTTGTACATAAATTTTAGGGGGTCAGTCACATTGTACATGCTTCTCCATAAAAATCATCATCAAGCACCCCCACCCACCCACCCCCTTAGTCATAAATTATGAATGGTCCCTAACTCAGCCATTTCTTTCAAAAAATCTTTTTCAAATGACTTAATCTCAGTGGAAAAGATCAGTTGGGGGTGGTCATTCTATAAGTGCAAGTGAACAGAACAAGTGAGTTGATAAACTCTCCTAGATTGTTATCCATTGTGTGCTCTAACAGAAGAGTATTTTGCCACTTGCACATAGTTTATAACTATCACTTTGACATCATTTACTTGTTAGAATTTCTGCTGTGTCAAGCTTCAAGAATCTAGAATGGAGGGAAAACAAATCTTTTCTTTCATAATATTTAATCCCACAACAATATAGTCAAGGTTGCATGATTCAGTTTTGGGCCCAAATGAGAGTACATTAAAAAATAATCTGGTACTTAGGTCAGTTCCACACACACACATTGGGGAAAAATTATGTTGACATATTTTTGTCAGATTTTGAGAATGTTTACTTTTAACAGGTAACAAAGTAACATATGTACTTTAAATGTATAGATTTCCCATCAACTAAAGTTTCTTTAAAGGCACCAGTAGAGGTAAACTGACTGTTATTACTGTAATGGTGAATTAATTAATTTACTGTGAACAATATTGAATGCTATTTTGAGTAAATCTCTTTCGCAAAAAATTATTGAAACACTTACCTGGTAGACTTAGCTGATACACTTAACCCACTAAATTCAACAGCTATATTCAACTGGTAAAACTGATAAATTTGATCTGACTAAATGAACTGGTAAACTAATCTGGTAAACTGGCCAGATAAATGACAACTAAGGCAAAGGATAAAGCCTCTGTGTGCCAGAGGAAATATGAATGAATGCATGTACATGCAAATGCAGCATTGAGGGACTTGTATACAGACACAATGCAGTAACTGAAAACCTACAAATACGTACCGGTAAGTCAAATGTAAGAACTGATGATTCTTTCTTCTTACCATCAGTACATAAAATAACTGTGTCCTTTATTGTTTCAAGTATGTAACTGGGTATATTTATTGTAACTATATAATGATAAAGAAAGATATTGGATATGAACCATGAGAGACAAAATTATTAGTTATCATATTGGCACCATCCTGGAAGGCACCATGGTGTCAAGGAAACTATGTTGATAGTCTCTGATAGTCTCCGGCTTCAATGCGGCAGGGCATACTACTGATCAAAGAAGTTAGAAAGTCGTGGTCCATGCTGTCCCAATATCGGACCACCTCTTCTTTCATTTCAGCAATATTTGTCAGATTTTTCTTATTGACACTTTCCTTCATAAGTCCCCAAACATTTTCTATTGGATTTAGGTCAGGGCTATAGCTTGGCCAATCTAATAATGTCATATTTTTGGTCCCAAAACAGGCCTGTGAATGCTTTGAACGATGTATTGGGTCGTTGACCTGCTGGTTAATCCAAAGATTTCCGTAGAACACGTGAGCAGATGGAAGTAAATGTCCCTCGAGAATATCTGTGTACCGTTCACTGTTCACTGTTCATATTCCCTTCAAATACACAGAGGGGCATTGCCCCTAACACAGATATGTCACCCTACACGTTAAATTTCAGACTGTACTCTGGGTGCTGATACAAAGGTTTTTCAATTTGTTTGGTCCAGAATTTCAGTGTATTAGGAAACAGCCACAGAGAACTTTCATCTGAGAAAATCACATTGTCCCAGTTAAAATTTCTATGCTGTAAGCACCAGTTCAACCTTCGCTCCATTTGTTCAGGTTTCATGATCAGTGATGGATTCCTCGACTTTTCTGCCAACCCAATGCATGCAGTTCAGTTCTAATTGTCTCCTTACAGACAGCCACAGTTCCTCCATCAATCTTATCCAGCCTTAAGTTTTCTAAACTCCTTCGCTTGTTTTTAGAATCAAGAATACCAAGCCGCCTCCTGTCACCGACAGTCAATTTTCTGGGCCTACCTGCGCCTCCCTGGTGCTCAGTGCCATATCCATTTGCAATATTTTTCAAAACACGATAAACAGTGGATAAAGGGATGCCTGTTCTACTTGAAATATCTTTAGCTGATCTGATGTCCTTGTTATAATACTCTAAAATCAACTTCCTCTTCTCTAAATCATCCATACTGAGGATCACTGAAAATGTCGTCTGCTAGCAAGTAAACAAAGGGGGATAACTCTTCACAAACTAATGAAAAAGGATTAGCGGAGTTGTCTCTCTTGAATGAAACCAAGCACTTGAGAGCTGGTCAAGGTTGTTTATGCTAGAAATCCAATTAACCATATTCCTAAAATTCTCAATAATTTCTGGTCATACTATAATATCAGCTATGGTGATTCCAACCTGAGGGCCCTGAGGAGAACTGGTGGAGGAGGGGAAAACATGAGTGACAATGCCTGTCCTGCTCAACATGACAGATATGTCCTGGAGACATCAGCATGTGCAGGAACTGGCACAAGTCTTTGAGGTCAACTGAAGTCATTTGATAACCATATTCAGGGAAGTTTGATTGGTTCCATCAAAGTCCTTTTGGGAAATATTGATCTGTGACAGGACACAGTACCAGAACAGATGCACATTAAAGCCTGGACTGAGATCTCACTTCTTGCACCCATATATGGCTGTCTTACAGAGCACCTAAAAGCTGACAGATTGTTCAACAGGTTCTGGAGTGGCATTTACTGAAACTGAATCTGTTACAGACGCTGTCTCCTTGAATTTTTCTACATCCTATAATGGTTATCTAGTCTTGGTCAAGACTGTGAAAATATATTTGTTTCTTTTTAAAAAACACAATGCACATGCAAGCACAAAGTCTCTGCAATAGTTTACTTCTCAAGACATATTTCTTACAACTTAATGCACAAATGTAGAAAATTTCAAGTAATATTTGAAAACTATGCTTTAATATATTGTAAATATTTACCTTGTCTGCAAGTGAGTGAGTGAGTGTCCCAACCAGGTGCATGTACCCATTTGAAGGTTGTGTTGGTGATAATTACAGGGGAAACAATACAGATGCCTCGTGCTTTGTTGAATTTGACAGATTGGCAGGTTTCGTTGAGAGAGCAGAGTCGTCTACAGTGGTCAACTGTCCACACAGCATACTTGGCAAAATCACTTGATCCAGGCTTCACATAGTCTTGGTCTTTTTTCCATGACAGCAATGCAGACGGACAGCGGTCTAGTGGAAAGTTAAAAATAGTTTAACAAGCAGATTAACATTTACTTTTACTTCAGATACCTACCATACTACTGAATTTCTGCTAGCTTAAAACATGTTCCAGTATATACACAGTTGAAGCCTCAATAGACTTACCTTCCTGACACTGCCATTCAAGGTATTGGAATCTCTCAGGAAACTCCTGGAAGTAATCTCCAACCTGTGCAGCCTTGAACTTTGACAAATGACACTCATTAGAAATTGTGTTGTAGTCAGCAGAACGGCACAGGAAATCTGTCTCCTCCAAGCACTGGGTACGACACATATCCACACTTGAAGCATTAACAGTTTTGTGGTTGTGGAAGGCAATTGCCATGGAAGTGTTTTGTATCCATATTACTTCTGATCCAGGACAAGGAGCTGGCAAGGAAATAGGTCAAGTCACATCATCATGTCTATTTTAATGCCTTGTGCAAGGTTTCTTAGTGAAATATATTTTGTACAGTTACCTCCCTTTGTCCAGTACCAGAATACTTTGCTGACTGATCTCACATGGTCATACCAACAAGGGCAGCATGTTTATCATACATTATCATTTTTTTCCCTTTTGTGGTGAACTGAGGGCACTTTATACTTGCTGCTTTCAGACATTTGTTTAAGATTTGGAAACAGTGGTAGGTGCTGGACACCTATATTATATAAAATCAAAATTAATGGACACAGCATACTGATTTTACAATTACATACATAAGCCTATAGCTTCCTACAGATGAACTACCCTATGCCAGGGGCAGCAATGTTGTTGCTGCAGGATTGCCAGTACAAATGTTTGGGTATAGCAAACCAATTTCAAAGGTTCGTGGAGTTAGGATCTGATTGTGTGAAACAACTCTCTGCAAGACTGTTGGCATTAATAACTTACATGTGTTCTCACTCCATGACACATTGCTCTGTGTGGCATTACAGATCTGTGTGTGAGTGTCTGGGTTGATTGTTAGGTCCGGAAAGCAGACATCATCAATCACACATACTTGCTCCTGCAAAATAGAATGGAATATGTGTTATACACAGAGAACAGATAAGAAATGTAAAATACACACATATTATGCATAAATGGCGCCCACCTTCATTCCACATGTTCCTAGTTCTGTGTTGCATGAGTAGCACTGGGGGTTGTAGGCTAGGAATGTTAGCTTGTTGGAGAAGACACCGTCAACATTGGTCACACGGAGAAGGTAGTTTGCTGTCTTAGGGAGGACACATCGAAGAACACTCTTGCTGACAAACACTGTTCTGTTGCACTCTGTCCAGCTGCCAACCTCCTCAAAGCCTGTGCTGTTAACCTGTAGCGCAAATAACCATACTTACTAACACTTCCGTAGTATGTGTACCTGCATGTACGATATAATAGTCAGACAATCTCACTCAAAACAAGAAAAACTTATGTCAGTTGATGAAAACTATAGAATGAGAATAGAATGTTTTATCCACTAACACTGACCTCAATCATTTTGAAGTATCCTTTAAGTTGTGATGTCTCCACAAATGTTCCTCCATATAGGTGCACCGTAGTGCAGTCACCAAGAAGTATGTTACAGTGGCCATCATTCTCTAGTCGGGCAATGGCAGGTGCAGTGAAGATACTGAGGGAACAGTCAACTCCCACATAGCCATCATTACACTCGCATTCACCTAGAAACATACATGAGACAATAGCTATGTTTTCTATCAGTGTATGAAATAAGGCCTGTCCAACAGCCCGAGACCGACTAGATTTCTGCCGGACGGTCTAATTTTAAAGCTAGCCAGACCGATGGACGGGTAAAAAATTGTATTCAGATAACGTGTTCACTGGCACTGTCTATCTAGTATTTAAGAAGGACTGGTTAAATCTCTTCTGGGTTGGTAAGTTTTTAAAGTTACCAGCCCAGATGTCTGGCCGGATTTTTGGCTTATTTCATACACTGTTTCTATGCACCCCAACAAAGTGACACTGCATGCACACTTGAAGACACTGGATTGCTTACTCTGTACACAGTTTCCATTGCCGGAACATCCATCTGGGCAGATTGTGTTGAGAATAGTTTGTGACTGTCCAGTCATGATGAGAGTTGCATTAGTTGTCAGCTCATATCTGCAGGACATCTCTAATGACGCCTGCAGGACACGGCTCCAGGATTCATCTTGTGTTGACTGGTAGGAGAAAATCATGGACACACAGTTCAAGAGTGAGCTTATATTGTCTTACACTGCCAGAACTATTCCAGCTGTATAATGGTGTCATGCATCCAATCTAGGACAGGCGCACTGCTTGTTGACGGCAAAAGTAAAATAATCCACAAGAAATGAAGCGAAATCATGGAGGTAAATATTGTTACCACCTAATATTTCTGTTCGTCAGTTCTTATGACAAGCATTGGGTAACAGATAACATTCAGGCCCCAAGTGTACGGAACATGGTCTTTTTGGGTATGAGTCGGTTTTACAGGGTTTCATGAGCTGAATATAAATAGTATTACACATTAAATGTTAATGTATTGGTGTCTCTAAAGTATGTAACCCTGGGTCAGATTGTAAAAAGAAGTGGAAATGGAGGTATACATAATTTTCAGCTACATATCACATGAGATGAAAACAAACGAAACAATTCAAAATTGTTATAACAACTATCTTTTGCATGAGTTTCTTCTTATTCATGATCTTTGTTTAAGGGTTCTATCAAGAGCAAATACATGATATAATTATCCCTGATTTGAACATCCTTTGTCACTTGGACAGAGTTTGCCTTCACATACTAACCAAGAGGTCCTGAACGCAGTTGTCTATCTCTTGTGGAGGTAGCTGGACCACTGAGCTGCACACAGAGAAGGAAATGCTCGCCTCTAGAGACTCCTGACAGATACTGCGTGCATAGCTCTCATTCCAGTTACTTGGCAATGACTCATTCACCTGTACACCAAGCACAAATAATGTGACAACGAACACAAAGTTATAGATCTTCAAGTCATTGTAGTTATTCTTGGTAAATAATTGTATGAAATTCAATATGTATTTTAAAACAAGATTGTTTACTTGAGAAAAGTTAAAGAGGGAACAAATTGGTTGACCTTTGTGTACACATTTGTATGCATGTACTGTATGAAATTAGCCTTTCATTTTGTTTTAAAAAATGTTTAAAACATTTGCAAGAATGTGTTACAAGTCAGGAGAAAAAATGCAATCTTGGTGTTATACATACACTGATTTCCTGATCACTAGGGAAATCATCCACTCTTTGAAAACCTTCAAAGCAGTTGGCTGCGAGAGTTGGCATGGCTGTTAAAGCTTCTGTTATGTCATCATCTGTATTGCATAAATGTCATCGATGTAGAGCATTTCAGTTTAAAATTTGCAAAACTATACAGGAAAGACAACACATAGTCGACATGACAAAAGCAATGTTTATGTTGGGTTGAGTTGAATTGTTTATTTCCTCTAAGTCTCACCTGCATTGTGTTCCTTTAACATATGACAGGCCAGGACACTGTTATCTGTCATGCACTGAGTGGCACCGACTGAAGTACATGCACAGTACTGCAAGGCACGTGGTGGGGAGGAGGGTGGCATCTTGTCAGGACACAGACCATTGTACAAACTGTCAGCTGGGCTCACTCTTCAGTAACAGAACACTTAATGATAACTGAGTAATAAACCAGGTTTTAAAAAATATAAAATCATAAAAGTCATGAACAGAGTCAGGTATGTACATTGATAGGGGACATATGTTTTTATTTTCATCTTTATGAAGTATGTATTTCACGAACAAAAAAAAAGACATAAAAAGTAATAAGATTATTTGATTATTTGAAAGCCTTACTTCCATTCTGTAGCAAATTCTGAAATGGTTCCAATGGTACCATTCTGCAGCATAAACTCATTCGATGAATCACCATCAAAATCACCACACAAGCCTGAAACATAGAGCCAAATGGATAGATATCTCCAAAGAGAATACTTCACATATATGTTTACATAATGGGTTTGTTGCATCAGTTGTATCAATCCCCAAGGGAGGATGAAATATATTATCAGCTAAAAGATAAAACAGACTGGGAAAACATGGTATTTGGTTGAAACTTATTGCGCACTATCTACATGCCAAGTTTTTCAGTTTCATTGTTCGTGTAATGTAGCAAATTCATAAACCTCACGTGTTTACTGGCAGGGATAAAAAAGATAATGCATTTGGCAAATATCCAAATAACCAAGGAAATGCAGAACAGGGTTCTGTTGTACACAACAACCTTAGCGCTAATTCAAGACGGTCCTATGTCTATGTTAATGTTTGAGAGTTACGATCACCTTAGGGCTATGATCCCTTTGTGCAGGTATTTGATGGTCCTTTGATGTTGCAAAGTAATTTGAATTCCCATTGTGATCAGATATGCACTATAGGCTACACCAATTAATATATATTTTACAGGCATACCTTTTGTTTTGTTTGCATCTAAAGGAGAAGGGTACATCCACACATTGATGAAGGTTTTATAGCTCTCTTCTACCATCACCTGTGTTCCAGTGGCCAAAACAACCTATAAGGAAGCATGCATATACCGTCAGAAGAGCACGTGATGGTAAGCTAATACCAGTACGAAGAGGCGACTAACGGGATCGGGTGGTCAGGCTCGCTAGCTTGGTTGACACATGTCATCGGTTTCTCAATTGCGCAGATCGATGCTCAGGCTGTTGATCACTGGATTGTCTGGTCCAGACTCGATTATTTACAGACCGCCGCCATATAGCTGGAATATTGCTGAGTGCGGCGTAAAACTAAACTCAATCGCTCACTCACTCAATACCATTACCCATCAGTCAACTGTAATTATGTGAATAATAATATTAAGTATTCACCTCATACACTCTTCCACTCTGCTTTCTGTATATCCGAGTTCCTTCTTGAAGTTTTTCGGTTCCAAAATACTTGACTGTGATGCCCTCGTTCTCTATGCATCCATTGAAAGTAATGACATTTCTGCCAGTCTGTACTGCCACTGCACAATTGCAGGTAGGTTCTGATGAACCCTTTGTACACCTTGAGTAAAACGCGTGGACCTGAAATGAATTAATACTTCTGCAGAACTGTGTAAAGAAAATGTTTAGCTGCGTGGACTGCCGAGAGAAAAACTGAATTATATTATCATTTATACTATCCTTTTTATCTCTTTTTTTAAATATATCACATTTATCAATATTTATCATAAGTATTATCCAAAAGATAAAAATTCTATTATGTCATTTTTGGTCTAAAACTGGATCATGTTTTTGTTAATATACGTAATACTACGAAGAAAACATGCAGTGAACATGCTGGAGGTGTTGAATGAATATAAGAGACAAACGAGCATATGAGAATCACCACACGAGTCCCTCTATTAAAAAAAACATTAATGGGTATACGGACATGAGAGCATTAATAACTTACTGCATAATTATTGATTTCACTCTTGAAAAGGATATATTCTCCCGAGCCATGCATGTTGAAATATCTGAAATAAAAGATGTCAACAGATTTGGTAACAGTATAAACATATATGATTCAGATACGTGACTATTTTGGCACGTGATGGGGATAGGTGACAAATGATAGGCCTATACTTACTGCTTGTCAAATGTTGTAAGATGAGGGTCATTTAGAGATTTACATACAGCATTCCTGTCTGAGTCGATTACGTCCACCTGGAAACATAAATCACATATAACTATTGTCTAACGATTGGATTTCTTTCCTAAATCTTATCAAACATGATCCCCTCTTAGAATGGTAGCATCAGGGTTCATCTGGCGTGGAAGGGGGCACACTTATGCATACCACAGCAGACGTGACGCTGTAGTATTTGCATATCGATTGCCAGAAAGGACTTCCATTAAGTTTGGGAAGAGACTGTAAACGGATAGTGCCCCAAAAGATGAAAATCTCTTAACCTTTAAGGGTGTTTTGTATATCCTTCCTAGTTCCGTCACCCCGCCTGATCCGGCGATAGTTTAACAACAGTGTGTACATAGCACATCTGCACTGTATCTATCTCTATGCTATAGAAGTGACTTCATGTCAAAAATCGGTATAGATCTATGCTGACTTGCTTACATTTTCACACGGTATTCCCCATCACCATGGCAGCATGCCTCTTCCCACCATTATGGCACTTCCAATGAAGGCTACAAGAGGTCCACATACTAACTGCTCCCGTCATTATGCCTCACATCCGTGTTCACACCAAACAAGAGAGTCAATGGTATATTTCTCCTTTCTCCATCCACATAATGTCTGAAGCTATTCCCGATACACCATGCCCATCTCCATGGGAATGTTTTCTTAAGACTACAAACCCCCAAGACAGCAATAATGACCATGGACAATCCCACACCAATACTGCACACAGTGTTTATCTGAAGACAGTTACAGAAAAGACGTGACATCTCTCTTTATCTGTAGACTCTTCTACAAATTAGGTCCACCTCTCCCAGGCCCTATGTTTTTGATACAGCATGTCATCTTGATGATCAAGACTTGGCAGACCACGTAAGTCCGCTGATCTACCGGGTCTTGACAGTAGGGCCTAAAGGACCTCAGTGCCGTATGCATCACGGAACGCACAGGGTGAGAAACATAAGACAGATAAGAGGCGAATGGAAACAAATGTATGCATTAATACACATCTTCCTCTGTGATACATATCACATATTAACCATGATACCATATCTGTTTCCATGTTACAGGAGTCACTGACATATTCATCATCACACATCTGTCTCCATGTTACAGGAGTCACTGGCATATTCATCATCACATCTGTTTCCATGTTACAGGAGTCACTGACATATTCATCATCATTCATATATCTCCGTGTTACAGGAGTCACTGGCATATTCAGCATCATTCATATGTCTCCGTGTTACAGGAGTCACTGGCATATTCATCATCACATCTGTCTCGATGTTACAGAAGTCACTGACAAATTCATCATCATTCATATGTCTCCATGTTACAGGAGTCACTGGCATATTCATCATCATTCATATGTCTCCATGTTACAGGAGTCACTGACATATTCAGCATCATTCATATGTCTCCGTGTTACAGGAGTCACTGGCATATTCAGCATCATTCATATGTCTCCGTGTTACAGGAGTCACTGACATATTCAGCATCACATCTGTTTCCATGTTACAGAAGTCACTGGCATATTCATCATCACATCTGTTTCCATGTTACAGAAGTCACTGACATATTCATCATCATTCATATGTCTCCATGTTACAGGAGTCACTGGCATATTCATCATCATTCATATGTCTCCATGTTACAGGAGTCACTGACATATTCAGCATCATTCATATGTCTCCGTGTTACAGGAGTCACTGGCATATTCAGCATCATTCATATGTCTCCGTGTTACAGGAGTCACTGACATATTCAGCATCACATCTGTTTCCATGTTACAGAAGTCACTGGCATATTCATCATCACATCTGTTTCCATGTTACAGAAGTCACTGACATATTCATCATCATTCATATGTCTCCATGTTACAGGAGTCACTGGCATATTCATCATCACACATCTGTGTCATGTTACAGGCGTAACTGACATATTTATCATCATTCATATGTCTCCATGTTACAGGAGTCACTGGCATATTCATCATCACACATCTGTGTCATGTTACAGGCGTAACTGACATATTTATCATCATTCATATGTCTCCATGTTACAAAAGTCACTGGCATATTCATCATCACACATCTGTGTCATGTTACAGGAGTAACTGACATATTTGTCATCACACATCTGTGTCATGTTACAGGGGTAACTGACAGATTCATCATCACACCTATGTCTCAATGTTACAGGAGTCACTGGCATATTCATCATCACACATCTGTGTCATGTTACAGGAATCACTGACATATTCATCATCATTCATATGTCTCCGTATTACAGGAGTCACTGGCATATTCATCATCACACATCTGTGTCATGTTACAGGAGTCACTGACATATTCATCATCACACCTATGTCTCCATGTTACAGGAGTCACTGGCATATTCATCATCATTCATATGTCTCCATGTTACAGGAGTAACTGACATATACATCATCACACCTATGTATCCATGTTACAGGAGTCACTGGCATATTCATCATCACATCTGTCTCGATGTTACAGAAGTCACTGGCATATTCATCATCATTCATATGTCTCCATGTTACAGGAGTCACTGACATATTCATCATCATACATATGTCTCCATGTTACAGGAGTCACTGGCATATTCATCATCATTCATATGTCTCCGTGTTACAGGAGTCACTGACATATTCATCATCATTCATATGTCTCCATGTTACAGGAGTCACTGGCATATTCATCATCATTCATATGTCTCCATGTTACAGGAGTCACTGACATATTCATCATCATACATATGTCTCCATGTTACAGGAGTCACTGGCATATTCATCATCATTCATATGTCTCCATGTTACAGGAGTCACTGGCATATTCATCATCATTCATATGTCTCCATGTTACAGGAGTCACTGACATATTCATCATCATACATATGTCTCGATGTTACAGAAGTCACTTCATCATCATCATTCATATGTCTCCATGTTACAGGAGTCACTGGCATATTCATCATCATACATATGTCTCCATGTTACAGGAGTCACTGGCATATTCATCATCATTCATATGTCTCCATGTTACAGGAGTCACTGGCATATTCATCATCATTCATATGTCTCCATGTTACAGGAGTCACTGGCATATTCATCATCATTCATATGTCTCCATGTTACAGGAGTCACTGGCATATTCATCATCATTCATATGTCTCCATGTTACAGGAGTCACTGGCATATTCATCATCATACATATGTCTCCATGTTACAGGAGTCACTGGCATATTCATCATCATTCATATGTCTCCATGTTACAGGAGTCACTGGCATATTCATCATCATTCATATGTCTCCATGTTACAGGAGTCACTGGCATATTCATCATCATACATATGTCTCCATGTTACAGGAGTCACTGGCATATTCATCATCATTCATATGTCTCCATGTTACAGGAGTCACTGGCATATTCATCATCATTCATATGTCTCCATGTTACCATGTTACATATGTCTCCATGTTACAGTCACTGGCATATTCATCATCATTCATATGTCTCCATGTTACAGGAGTCACTGACATATTCATCATCATACATATGTCTCCATGTTACAGGAGTCACTGGCATATTCATCATCATTCATATGTCTCCATGTTACAGGAGTCACTGACAAATTCATCATCATTCATATGTCTCCATGTTACAGGAGTCACTGACATATTCATCGTCATACATATGTCTCCATGTTACAGGAGTCACTGGCATATTCATCATCATTCATATGTCTCCATGTTACAGGAGTCACTGGCATATTCATCATCATTCATATTTCTCCATGTTACAGGAGTCACTGACATATTCATCATCATACATATGTCTCCATGTTACAGGAGTCACTGGCATATTCATCATCATTCATATGTCTCCATGTTACAGGAGTCACTGGCATATTCATCATCATTCATATGTCTCCATGTTACAGGAGTCACTGGCATATTCATCATCATACATATGTCTCCATGTTACAGGAGTCACTGGTATATTCAGGTGGGGTGGCCCAGTAGTTAAAGCGTTCGCTCGTCACGCTGAAGACCCGGATTCGATTCTGTGAAACCCATCTCTGGTGTCCCCCGTCGTTACATTGCTAGAATATTGCTAAAACCAAACTTACTCACTATGCTTTATGGGTGATTCGCAAATATTTCTATCATCATATTGTTGAATTGCACTTACCTGAACTTTTTGTTTTGTGTCCTCGTGGGAAATACCACCAACAACAGTTGTTAAGGTGATAGTTGATCTGGCCTCACCATCAATCATCATGTCCTGATTGGCCACAAATGTGATGTTTGTAATTTCGGTCCAGGTGTGCATAGTAATGGTAGTGGAACAGAACTCAGCTTGGATAGATCCTGTTTCTTGGAAGAGGATCTGTGGTATCGTTTTCTGTTTTGTTGTAGGACACTGGAGAGGTGCATCATCTGATATGGTAGCCAAGACCACTACTTTACAGTCCTGTTCCTTCTGAGCAATTCGACAGAGGAGTGATGGTGGTGCAGTGAAGGTCAGTTGGATGTTGCCACCATCCCCTCCCTCAGTAACCGACATCTCCCTGCTGCTTAACACCTACAACATGACAGACTCTCGATACAACGGGTTACACACAGTATGTAGATTCATTACATCCCCATGATTATACCATCTTATATCAACCAGGGTGTTGCATCCTTGCTTTCCTTGTTTTAAGAAGAGCATGCAGCTGATACAAGAAGTGCATAGTAACCCCTGATGTTAATACGTATGTTATAGCTTACTTGTAACTGATATATGTGTAGTGGGGTAAGTGGAGTGTTACTACATGCCTACTGATGTGAGTGTTGGGTTGCATTGCAGTCTACCTTTCATGCGAGTAGAATGCTGTTGCCGGTCGTAGCCAATATAGGTGCTAAAGCCGATGTTACTAGGTGTTGCTGTCAACCTCTAACTGTAAGAAGGGTGTTCTAGCTGGTGCTACAGTAACAAGCTGTAGGCTACATGTAGATTATGTAAGTGTGGTGTTAAAACCTACCCGTAGTTGAAGAGGGATGTGTGTTTGTTGTCGATTCAGGAACCACATTTGAGGCCAATGTGTCTATTGTGTAACCGTTATAGCGGTGGTGGTAGATATAAACACCCAACAAATAGTCCTTGAGAATAGAGGTTTATGACATGTAGTAGTTGATAAGAGTAGAGGTACAGTGAGCTGGGTAGTGTGTAACTAACGCAACTTAAGAGTAATGTGTTGAAACCTACCTTCAGCTGAGGAACAAACACATTGCTCTTGTTGCCAATACTAAGAGATGAGTTTGCGCAGTCAGGCTCATAGCAGGCTCTCACTTCACACCAATGCTGAAATATATATGGCAAATGATATATGATCGGGTTGGGCTGCGGCCCTGGTTTTTCATTATTCAGTACAACAATAAGCGATATGATTTCAGTTTGTGAAACATATCTACTATTTATCTCATTCCAACTCAAGATCAGTTATCAACATTAACGGGTAATCACATGATTTCCTTGTGATTCAGACAAACACTCACACACATGTTCAATAACCACATATATATAAGTAAGAGGTTAACCCACAAGTGTAAGGAGATGAAGAGTGTTCTTGACAAGAGCATCACCATATGCTGCGATCCAAGCTGTTCTGTCACTGCACTAGTGTCATAGCACTATGTCTGCAAGTCGGAGGTATCCTATTTTCATTTTGATTAGTCTGGTAGAGTCTTTGGGAGTACGTAGCTGTAGAACTGTCGAAAATATCTCTTGGAGAGCTCTACCAGGTGTCTCCCTGTTTCACCAAATGACCTCGCTATTTATTCAGAACTTCGATTGGATCAAACTAAAATTATTTGCTAATTACATAAATTATATATCATTTAGGGTCATTATATTATGAAGCAATAAATATGTTCAGGTCATTAATCATTTCTTGTCTTTAATCTTATTTTCCCAGTAATGCATAAAGTGAGGGGCTTTTGGTCATTTTTCGAGGGGGCTTTGGTCGAGGGGCTTTTGTACCGAGGGGCTTTTGACCTAAACTCCGACAGCGACTTCTTTTAATCTTTAGCTTTTGGCACCAGCGACACACGAGTTGTGGTACATAAGCGGAAGTACGTGTTATAGAATATTAAGAAGCCCAATAGCCAAGTGTTCGACGACTAGAAGAGCAATGTTAAGAAGCCCAATGGCTAAGTATTCCACGACTAGAAGGGCAATATTAAGAAGCCCAATGGCTAGGTATTCCATGACTAGAAGAGCAATATTAAGACGCCCAAATGACTAAGTGTTCCACGACTAGAATGGCAATATTATGAAGCCCAATGACCAAGTGTTCCACGACTAGAAGGGCATTTTAAGAAGCCCAATGGCTAAGTATTCCAAGACCAGAAGGGCAATATGAGGAAGTCCAATGGCCAAGTTTTCCACGAATAGATATCCCAGAATTCTTTTCTGGGTTGCGATCACCGCCACCCGCAGGCACAATTGATAGTATATGGGCGTATCTTTACAATGATCAACGACGATAAATACAGTTGCATCATGGAATTGATTGGAAAAAATAATCATCCTTTTTCCCATTAATACATATGTCCATCTTGACCATTATGGTAACAAATCAACACATTTGAGTTTAACTTCATCTGCCTCTGGTGACAAATGTTAGGATTGAAAGAAAACGAAGTCGTCGAATGTACGTCTTTATATTTTTGCCTTATAATCCGAGCATGATTAAGTTCTATTTTAGGCACTTTGAAACTTCATAAAAGTGTGCATATCTGTTTATAGTCTGTTTGCAGTGAAAACGTACCGATGAATTTCACTTTAAACAAAAAAGTAAATCAAATAAAGTGAAATTAAGATTGCGAATACTCATGATTTTACCTTGACAGTTGAACATTTAAATCTCAAAATTTTATTCATATTAGGATAAAAGTTGTTTAACAAACGATCATAGATGCAAATCGCTATTACTGGTTTGTATTACAAGGGGGTAAGCGCAGTCGTTGGAACAGTGAAACAAATGCAACGTGCGGTACGTGAAGAGCTTTAACTTATCACAACCCTTGTCGTTTTCGGTGTTTCATTTGATGTGCATACCCCCTTGTAATACAAACCAATAATAGCCATGTGAAACTATGATCGTTTGTTAAACAACTTTTATCCTAAGTCGAATAAAATTCTGAGATTTAAATGTTCAATTGGCAAGGTAAAACGCAGTCTTAATTTCACTTTATTTGTTTTACTTTTGGATTTAAAGTGACATTCACCGGTACGTTTTCACTGCAAACAGACTATAGTGCATTTTTAAAATGACCGTAATATCTATACATTTTACATTATGACTAAGTGAATCACGTTTTACATATATACGCCCTAAGTACGAAGCTAGTGCGTGCTGTCTGTTTCAGAACTTCACGGCGACAAACTAAATGGAGTGGAATGCTGCAACAAATGTATGAAAACAAAATGCACAGATTAAAACTAAAACTGACTCAAGTTTTAGCAATAATATCAGGCAATTATACCTTGTTTGAGGAATATATCCATGAATATCCACATAAAGGAACGATATCCCATCGATCAGTAGCCGACAAAGAAACATGTTCCATGTCATATACCCTTTAACAATCTAATATTGAAAAATTGTATATAATGTTCTTATTCGTGATAGTTTCTTAACTGGTCACGTGACTATGTTTGAGGTTTCACATTGGTGTACAGTCTCATTGCCCCGAAGAAAGCAGACCTGTCCACTCTTTACACGATATCCACCAATGTTTAAAAATACACTCAGTTAGACAACAATGAGCAATCAATCAACGGTTAATCCTTTGAAGAAAGGACTTTGTGTTTACACCGGCACTTTACGACAGAATGTGGATGTATTCTGCATACGTTAGTAATCTCCATATATAAACGCTTGACTTTTGACAAATCCGCTTTGCAAGATAAAAGCAATTAATTAAGCAACGTGTTATCGGTTTCCTTTGATCGATGAATTTTTTTTAACTCTGCTGAAAATTCCTCTTTCTATGCTTTCAGGTGTATATTACATAACATGTAAAGCATTTGCCACATCAGACCTTAATTTGTAATGTTGAGTATTTACTCCAGACACGAGAAAAGCTAAATGGGAATCTTTGTCGGGCAATCTGAGTAGTGGTATCTCTAATAATACCTGTTATAAATTCATAAACTGACCATCAGTTAAACGGGTGTCGGTTAAACGTGTGTTACAGAAAGGAAGCAGTCGAGGGGTCGACGCTGTTATGAGGAGACAAACGAACGTCACACAGGCATTTACTGTGTACGATAGTCAAAAACTGCATATGCATATTCACCTAACTGGAGTGGCCCTTGAAGATCCGGGTTAAAATTGATCTTCAGTAACCCATGCTTGTCGTAAAAGGCGACTAATGGGATCGTGTGGTCAGGCTCGCTGACGTGGTTCCCAGTTGCATAGACCGATTCTCATGCTTTTGATCACTGGATTGTCTGGTCCAGACTCGATCATTTACAGACTGCCGCCATATTGCTGGATATTGCTGAGTGCGGCGTAACATTAAATTCACTCGCTAACCTAAGTGGAGTTTTTATATTGTTTTAGCAATAGCAAAGGGGTTGAATTAGTTCTTGGATTCAAATAAAACAAATGTGTCTTTTCAATAATATGGGTCAATTGACATAATATTACGGCGACGGTAAGACATGGGGATAAATACTGGAGTGTGACGTGCGCGCATAGGGTGGTTCACTCAACCCAAAGGGAGCAAAAGTGAGTTAATACTAGGGCTGTGCAATATTACCGGAAAACCGGTACAGTATCTCGCGACACGATTATGGCTATATGGTTCAGATTCTGCAATATATTGGGTCATCCAGAGTTAGCTCCCTTTGAATTATCTGCCCTTGATTTCAATAGAAACAAAATGTGCTCTAAAAGTGCCAAATATACTTTTTCTTTTCTGCTTCAAGTGGAAGTGGCTCCAAAGTGGCTCCAAAAGTGCCAAATATTCTACCAAATGCTTTACGTTTGGGAGTTTGAATGGTTTCATCTGTGACATTTTGCAGGAATTAAGTGGCCTCAAAAGGACCAATCTTTTAAGAAAAGCAAGATTTATGGACGTCAACTTCTTGTTGTGAATAATGGTTGCTACTTCATCAGGACATGAATAACCACAATAAAAAAAGATGACATCCATAAGTCTTGCTTTTCTTATGCATTCCACTTCTAGTGAATGCCCTTCAAAGATTTGACCAATATTATAATTGGTTTCATAATGGGACATGTGTTACCAATTTATGATAAAGGCCAAAGTCTTATAAATTTTGTAGAACTGTATTAGGACATTCTAGTCAAGGATCTTAGTTATTGGAGGTCACATGAGATTTTAAGCTCAAGTAGTTCACCTAAATCATGTTTTTCTTTCATTTTACAACAGTTCATGAATGAATCACTGACAGTTGTAACAGTAACAATAATAACATTGATTACATCATTGAAGTGTATTCTGTTGAAACAAACAACACTGACCATGAAAATCATGTTATATACTTAATTTCAAAAGAAACGCGACATGTCCATTTGAAATAAGAACTGTTGTCCCACATGCATGTTTCCAGCCACTATATGCTTTATGCGGAACGTACCAAAGAAAGATAAAATACAACAGCAACGACAGTGGATTTAAGATCTGATGAATTTTTTATTGTGTCCAACCTGACGAGTCTGCGTTAGAGAGGTATAGACGCTTTAGCTGACATTCGATGTTGTCAGTACCTGGTATGAACACCATTACTGTCTATCACATTAGTATACACCGTCTTCCTATGGACATGAACAAACGTCGAATGAAAGCACGGGGAATGTTATTGAACTCATTCAACTCTGCGTTCTCCAACTGCCGCCGATTTTGTGGAAGAACTGGTCTTTGACGAAGGCGTCGGCCCAACTCGTCCCAGAGATGTTCCACTGGATTTAAATCAGGACTAAGAGGTAGCCAAACCATTGTCTGGATGTGGTGACTGGCCAGGAATTGTCCTGTGATAATGGCGGTGTTGTGTTGAAACTGCAGCTGTGGTCTGGGTCTGAAGAACCGGACGACAACAGGCCGCAAGACTATGTTAATGTAGCGTCGTGCAGTTACACCCCTTCCACGACCTTGACCGTTGTCTTGGAAGATTACAGGTGGTACATGCCTTCCCTAGCCTCCATCCCACATCATAAGGGATGGTCCATCCCAGCGATCACTTTCCAGAACACATGGGTCTCTGAAACGTTCATTTTGTCGAGACTGCCTCCGTGGTGCAGTGGTTAGAGCGTCCGCCCGGAGAGCGGAAGGTCGCGGGTTCGATCCCCGACCGCGTCATACCAAAAGACGTTAAAATATGGTACTTGTTGGTCCCTGCCTGGCGCTCGGCATTAATGGGTATAACAAGGACTGGTCCGCTCGGAGTCAGTATAATGTGTCTGAGTGGGGTATTCATGCTTCACTGCGGCATAGTATCTCAGTGGGCTAGCACTATAAAACCAGTTTCAGTCTGTTAAGCAGCCGCACATACACATACACACGCATGCACGTCGTCATATGAGCGAAATATTCTCAAGCACGACGTTAAACCCAATTTCATCTCATCCCTCTTTTTGTCGACGCCATCCTCTCACTCTCCCATCTGCAACGTGGACACAAAAACGACTCTCATCTGAGAAAACAACGTTCTGCCACTGTGCATATCTCCAATGCTGATGTTGGTGAGCCCATGCTAAACGCAGACGACGGTGCCGTGGCGTCAAAATCGGTCCGATATAGTATATCCTACAGTGTAGCCGGTGTGCTCTCAAACGTCGACGCACAGTGTTTTCTGAAATTAGTCTGTTGTGAATCCCAATTGTTTGACGGGCTCGAACAGTAGCTGGCAGAAAACGGTTGCGAAGATGTGACGTTACCATGTATCGGTCTTGCCTGCGTGACGTCACTCGTGGCCTTCCATCTCTAGGTCGATCTCTCACCGAATTCGTTTGATTTTGGCGTTCAATCAGTCGGTAAATTGTCGTCCGATGTACTCCCATATGTTGTGCGACTTTGACAACACTGGAACCAGCATCAATCATCCCAAGAGCACGTAGACGTGCTTCATTGCTCAGACGCGGCATATTGTTCTCTGAACCATTAAGAAAAAGAACACAATAGAAACTGTCGTTGCATCTTTTAAAGGGTTCTTTCTCTCGTTTTTCCTGAAGAAAGTGTCGTATCATTTAATTCACGTGCACAACGTGTCAGGGCATGCAATTATGAGATGTGTTTCTGTTGTTTATTCCCATAAAATATTTAACAATTAGATTCAGTTGGTACGGCTAATCTGACGTTAAAAGTCATGTTTCAGAAGTTTCATTTCGAAAATTGGTTTAAAAAAACAATTAACATGTACATTCGTTATGATTGTAAAGTAGATAAGTTAATTATGGAATTTTCAAAAACAAACATGAATGTCGCGTTTCTTTTGGAGCTAAGTATACTATTACCTATGTTCGCAAAACTTTGTTGCAATACGGTTACTTCAATGAAACATTCCGAGAATTTCCCGATGCATCATTTGTTTTATTTGGGGATTTTACTTCCCGTATAGTCCACCGACTCCACTGATTACATACCAATTGAAGATGTAGACTATGAATGCGATTTATTTAATTCATTCCGAGAACCCCCAAAGATAAAATAGTCAGTTAAGAGGGAACAAAACTCCTAGTTATATGCTGCAATTTTAACATACATGTTTTGTACGGGCGAAATGGGAACGATAAAAATGGAGAATTTACATTCATTGGACACCAAGGAAATAGTGTTGTGGATTATTATATGGTTTCTTCATGTTTAAGTACTCATTCTAGCTCGATCCGGATCGGACCATTTGCCTATAACAGTAGACATGAAAACATCACAAGACATATCACGTGACAGCAATCACTCCGAACATGCGCGTGTACACATCAGTGAGACAGCGGTGGGATTTCAGCCGAAAGGGTGAGTTCATTCTCAATACATGTCAGATAACATTAATGAATTCAGCATAATATTTTATGAAGTATTATATGACAGTGTGAATGTTGCTGTTAAATCTTTGAATGACTTTATGCTTACATATATGCACACACTCAGAGAACAAACACACCGACCCTCGTGTTCACGCTCACGCGCTGGCCCACAGCACACACGTGCCCTGATGGCCGTGAATGCTAACAGGGTAAACGACATAAGTAGGCCTATGCTTTACTACACAGATTCAGGAAAACAAACAACCCATTGCATTGTAAACATTATCTAAAGGCAAAGAAGGATTTTATAACACTTTCTTATAGAAAGAAATCAGATTATGAAACAAAAATTAGATGAAATTGTTGATACAGCAAAGGAAAAACACTCTCGTCGCTTGTGGAAATCTCTACAGAAATAGTGTTTTTGTTTGTAAAATATATCTGAAAATATATCAGTGGAGGAATGGTTTAACTATTCTCGCGGAAGATACGAATATCATTGATGATTCCTTTGGGGAACATGTTCATAACTATGAAAGCAACCACAACTGTGAGGACTGCATTACCTCTTGTGAATACCTTGGTAATCGTATAACTGATAACTAGATATTCTGTGCAGTAGAAAGTCTGAAATGTGGAAAATCACCCACGGAAGGCGGTATCCCAGTAGAAGTTTTAAGGAATGTATTTCATAACTGCTTCCTTTTATGAATAATCTGTTTAACCGAGTTTTAGACAGCAGTATTTCTCCAGATTCCTGGAAAGTATTGATTGTACCTCTGCATAATTGTGGTGCAAGGTATGACCCAAACACTTTTAGAGGTATGGCATTATTGAATATACTGAACAAAATATTTACCACTATAATAGATAATCGCATTAAGTCTTGGATATCGACTCGTGAACTTTTATCAGAGTGCCAAGTTGGATTTCGAGAAGAATACTCTACTAATGACCATATATTTACTCTCATTAGCAATATCCATAAGTATCTGCGGAAGAAAGAGGGGAAGTTTTATTGTCTATTCGTAGACTTCAGGAAAACTTTTGATTTCGTTAACAGCTCCAAACTGTTATATGTCCTACTACAGTCAGGTATACATGACAAACTCCAACGTCTTCTACGTAATATGTACACCAATGTGAGAGCATCTGTTAAAATTAGTAAATTCCACATGAGTGAGTAAATTCCACATGTGCTGGAGTGAAGCAAGACTGCATTTTATCCCCTGTACTTTATTTTTTATATGTTGGAGAACTTGTTAAGGAAATGTTATCGAATGATTTGAGAGGTGTATTTATTAACAGATATATCTCAGATATTTCATTATTGCTATTTGTAGATGTTGTGATTCTTGCAGATTCTGTTGTCAAGTTTCAATGCAAGATATATACGCTAATGTGTATAAAATGTGCTTTGCAGATAAATATCTGTAAAACCAAAGTAACGTTTATTACAAATGAGGGTGAAATTTCTAATAGTGAAAAATGGTTCCATAATGACAAAAAATTGGATGTGGTATCATATTACAAATATTTAGGTATTACATTTTCTTGCAGAAATATATGTTCCAGAGCCTGTGAAACATTATCTATGCAAGCTGAACGAGCTCTGCATGTCATAAAACAATTCATAAGTAAATATAAAGAATTACCGGTCCATGCATCATTTAAGCTGTTTGATAAAAAAAGTGAACCAATTCTGTTGTACGGTTCTGAAATATAGGGCATTAACGTTGTACATTCAAAGTTCTGTAAGTTTTTGTTATGTGCTGGCTTACAGAACTGTGTAAAGTTAATCTATCTGAATGTGGACGTTTTCCACTATTTATCAATGCCTGCAGTCGGATTATTGCATACTAGCTAAGATTGATGACACAGACAATTTCTCGATATTCCAGAAGTAGTTCAAGATCAAGATAGCTTATTCTACATAAGGTCTCCGGCCCGTATGCATAGTGTTATAATGATAGGCAAAGTAGGGACATAGTGGGAAGCTTCATAACATTGTGAAATTAGTTGACAAGAGAAATCAGACTCTTCCTTAATGACGTCGAATGTGTTAAAACAGGACGAATTTTACATAAACAGATTCGTCAAAAAGTAGTTATGAAATGCTTAATACATTACATGATACTGGAGATACTAAAGGTGTTTTCTCCGTAAGAACTATTCTTTTTAATTATGGCTTTGCGACACATCGTCACAGTATTTTGTCCAAGGTTTTGGTCATTTACCTACGGATTCGTTGGTTCCTGTAGGTATTTAAATCTGACTGACTGTCTGTGATTACATGACATGATGAAATACCGAGGTAAACCTTACCGACAAGGGATCCAACTAAAACAGAAAAGGCCTACACTGCAAGGATACTATATTACATCCAGACTAGAAGCGCGCGCACGCACGCACGCATACACACACTGACCTTCTGTTTGCTTTCAAAATCCTCTGTGGTTACGTTGAGATTGTGAGTAAGTAGTCCAGCAATCAAGAGCTCTGACGTGATGTTCACGTGTTCGCGGTACCAGGTCACCTCATACTGGATATTGACCACTTCGTTGTCACTGACGCCAGTTGTATTGTCCTTTATTGTACAACGGAGTGACATGTCTTCCAGCGTCACATACTCTAGTGCCACCACCGGTTGGATTGTTATCTCGGGAACATCTGAAACATTAGAAAGCGTGAAGTTTCACATGGCGTGATGTTGTTTCATTGACCTTGATCACGCTCCATAATATGTATATGTCAGTGACTAAGGATATTTTGTAATAAGTAAAGATCTATACACAGGTGGGAATGATCTGTAAATGTAAATGTGGTGTGCACAAATGCAATACAAAGAAAGTGAGCACATGGCACTAACTCAGTTGTCAGATGATTAATACAGAATGATATACACGATACCTAAACATATTCAACCATTAATGTTAAAACCAAGTATTAGAAAAAAAGACAGTGTTGGTGATAAATTTCAAATGCATGAACGCGTATGCCCCTCAAACACCTATATACATCCGATAGTTTGCACATGCATAGGTAGTCAGTAATTTCGACCCTTTCATTTCCGTTAATCTTTGTAGCTCATCAAGTCTGTCAATCCTACGGTTGTCATTTACTTAAGTTTGTTCTTTGTTCGTATATGGACAAGCGACGCCTGCAACGCGCGAGCCATCAACGAGCTAACTGCAACTTGAAGCTGGCAGAAGTCACATTCACCACCCTAAACCTCTGATTGACCCCACAGAACTACTTCATCACCTCAATGCTGAGCACGAACCGCCTCCGTGGTGTAGTGGTTAGAGCGTCCGCCCGGAGAGCGGAAGGTCGCGGGTTCGATCCCCAACCGCGTCATACCAAAAGATGTTAAAATATGGTACTTGTTGGCCCCTGCCTGGCGCTCGGCATTAATGGGTACAACAAGGACTGGTCGGCTCGGAGTCGGTATAATGTGTCTGAGTGGGGTATTCATGCTTCACTGCGGCATGGTTTCTCCGTGGGCTAGCACTTTAAAACCAGCTTAAGTCTGGGCTAGTACAAGCAGCCGCACATACACATACACACGCATGCACGTCGTTATATGAGCAAAATATTCTCAAGCACGACGTTGAACCCAATTTCACCTCACCTCACCTGAGCACGAAAGAATCCAGTTCAGTATGGAGAAAGAAATAAACCAACACCTTCCTTTCCTAAACTGGAGAAAATGTAGTGAAAACCTCTGTTAACCGCAAACCTACACACACAGACCAGTACATCCTTTAAAAGTCCTGCCACCATCGCCAACACCATCTGACGGACAGCTTCATCTCACTCAATGGTTACCTTCCACATCTAGTCTCAAAACCCATCAATAAGACCCTCAACACTTCCAAGACTAAACCCAAAGCTGCCCCAATGCCCTTCATGATCACAATTCCATACCTAGGCCCTGTCAGCCATCATATCCCCCCGCCTCATGAAAAACAAAGCAAACATAGATGTCACCTTCTCCAGTAGCAAGACTAACAAAAAAAAACTGCACACCAATATCAGAGGCATCAGCCCAAACCCCAGAGGATGAGTAAACCAAAATCCTCTGCAGTTGTGGCGACAGATATATCGGTGAACCCCTCAGATCCCGTAACGCCAACTCAAAGAATCCCAAACGCCCGAAAGCTATTTCCGAACGCAACAAGAACCCGGAGCACGTCATGTGGGAGGTCACCAAAGTTATATCTGCCAGCTACAACATCTAGCGTCAAACGAAATTTTAAACTGCAAGAGGCCATAGTGATGATAAAAGTGAGAATCGAATGATAAATTATATAAACTCTGTCAAAAAAGAAACGCAACCCCTGTCCTCAGATATGAAAAATTCGTTTGAATGAAGTTATTGCTTCCAAACTAAATTTTATTCGAATGTATTGAAATGATACACGTAATTAATGAAGATTACCATCCAAACAACTGCATTTGTACGCATAAGTGTATTTTATTGCTTATTCCGTCACAACGCATGAAATGACCCTCATGGTGACTTCGCACAAAAACACATGGAAATCATGAAAATGGCAGTTAATGGAGGGGTGTATAAAAGCCCATGTGCTTCCGGATTATATTCATTCATTTGTCGCCGAAAAGCTGTGTTAAAAATGCCACGATTGAGTGCTGCCGACCGAAATATCGCCATTGGTCGTGTTCAAGCCGGAGAAAGTTTTGGAACTGTTGCACGGCACCTAAATGTTCACAAAACAACGATATCCCGACTTTGGAGCCGCTACAACAACTTCAATTTGACCAACGATCGCCCGAGAAGTGGAAGGCCAAGAATCACGACCCCCCTTCAAGATCGGTACATCCGGGTCCATCACCTGCGTAATCGGCATGCCCTACCAACCGTGACTGCCACACAAATACCAGGTTTGAGGAGAGTGTCAGCTCAAACGATGAGGAACCGTCTGAAAGAAGCGGGTTTACGTGCCTGTAGACCAGTTGTTGGACCTGTACTACGCCCCCTACATCGACGCCGACGACTCAGGTGGTGCAACAACGTAAGGATACGGACTTTACAAAACTGGAGGCGAATCTGGTTTTCTGATGAATCACGTTTCTTTTGCAACGTCACGACGGAAGACAGCGTCTGTATAGGAGACGTCATGAACGTTTTGCGCCCATCTGCGTCCGACAGGTGGACAGATTTGGCGGAGAAAGCGTCATGGTTTGGGGAACCATCTCATACAACCAGAAATCAGACTTGGTGATCGTTCCAGGGAACCTGACAGCCCAACGTTACATCAACCACGTGTTAGAGCTTCACCTTCTCCCGATTATTGACCAACAGACACAGATTTTCAACGGGACAACGCCCGGCCTCATACTGCACGTGCAACAATGAACTTTCTGCAGAATTCCAACGTCAATGTCTTGCCATGACCCTCTAAATCACCAGACCTCAACCCTATTGAACACCTGTGGGATACTCTGGATCGACGCGTACGTCAACGTCAGCCGCCGCCACAGACGCTGCAACAGCTCGCCGTTGCACTGCAGGAGGAGTGGAGAGCCATTCCCCAGGAAAGAATCCGGCGTCTTATCCGTTCTTGTCCAAGGAGATGCCGTGCAGTGATTGCAGCGCGTGGTGCTCATACGAGATACTGAGAAAGACGCCCCCCTGGTGACCAACTGGTGTCTGTGAGATGACTTTTGAAATGACAATTTTAAACATGCCCATCTGGGTTATTATTCTGCCAAATTTCAGACTTCTGTCTTAAATAATAAAAATGCCGTGTCGTCCTAAAACTTCAGATCAAAATCTCTACAATACAGGGGTTGCGTTTCTTTTTTGACAGAGTTTATTTTTGACTGCACTTCTTGGTTTGTCTTCTTGCCGCTCATAAAAGCTGAAATATTGTAGACTGGGGACCGTCACATGGGTACAAATAATATATACTACTTATACTGTCATTGTCGTGCTTAATGCACATTTCTTTCGGAAAATTATAATGCACGACAATAGATAAACTATCAGGCGAAAGAAAGTTATCACCGACTTCACTTGACCAAAAAATAGAAACAAAGACGTACGTGGTGATATTTATGATAATTATTTTACAAACAGAAATCATTTTCCAATAATTTGACTATAAATTCATTGTAATGATGGTCTTGCAATTGCCGCAGTTCATTAAGTGAGAGTCAGGGGAATGGAAAAGTACACAAATTAGAGTTGAGTAAAAATATGCATTAAGAGCCATATAATGTGGGGACACATCATCAATTGGGAGTGATCACCCTGGGCAACCATACACGCCAAAACACGTCATGACATCAGCATGAATCCTGTTCCAAGTCCAGGAAAGTCTGTTCATGTTCCTGTCGGTTCGCTGGAGGCGGTACACGATGTCTCAGCTGACGATGACCTCAGAGACGTTCAATGGGCTTCAATTTCTGAAGAACGCGCTGGCCAAGGCAATATGATGACGTTAACTTTGTTGTGCTGCAAAATGACTCCTCTTGGCTGTTGGCGAATAAAGTCTCAACACCTCATCCCTGTATCGCTGGGCATTCAAATTTCCCCTGATTATATAACCTAGTTGTTCACTGTCTACAAATGCCTCCCCATGCCATGACGCCTCCTCCATCGAACAGATGGATTTATTGAACGCAGTTTGTTGCTCTCCTATACGTCGAAAACCTTGAACTCTGCCATCGTTTCTGAACAGACTGAACTGGCTTTTAATACAAGACAAATCTCATAGATAACAACGTCTTGATTTATTTTTTCACAACGTTTCTGGGCTATTTCTTGCCCCTTCTTCAGGTGGATAATGTTGAACTGTCTTATATCTGTAAAGAGCACTCTCTCCAGTCACATCACTGTTACCGACGTACAGCTCGTGCTCATTGCAGTCAGTGTTGACGGTGTAGATGGATCAAGGCCATTCCACGAAAGGGGCGGAAGGCTCGTATACCAGCCATGTCAAGTCGTTGAAGGACTGTTCATCTGCTGATGGTGTGTCCTTGTGCTGTCGCTGTCACGAATCTGTTACGGAGGAGGATCTGCCGGATGTAGAGGTCTTCGGCCAGCGTCGTGACTCCTGGCCTTCCCGATCTTGGACGGTCATGGATCTGACCTGTTTGCTGATGGTGGTCTGACTGCAGTTGAAGGTTCTTGCCAGCTGACGCGTGAACCCCTCATATTGGACATACTGATCGCCCCGTCTCATTGCGCTAGCGTAATCTTTGGCATATTTGTGGTGGTTTGTTGGTTACTGCATGATAGCTCTGTCCAACAATCATGCAAGTGCATTAAATTTGGACCACTGTCCCACAATTACGTTTTTCACGTTTGTAAAAATGCACGATTCGTACGAAGTTTTCGGACAGCTGCGTTGTTATCGTGACAATAATACATGTTTGGCGAATGTTTTCTTCTTGGATTCAAACCTGTACCAGCGTTTTGGTGTTTATACAATTAATTGAAAAGTGACAACTTTCTTCCGCTCAACTCCACCAAAATACATACGCGACATTCGTTAAATTGAATCCGACAATGGGAGTAGAGTGTACCGTACTGCTGTCATTCAGGTAACAATACAGACAATGTAAGGGAATTGCAGAGTCATTCTGTTGGAATAGAGATGACACAACTTTATGGATGATCAACTTCTTTATTTTAACAATAG